GGGGCGGGCGGGAGCCATAGACCCTGCCTAAAGGGCCCTGGGCTGGGACCCGGTGGAGAGGGAGGGCCCGGGTCCCCCTACCACCCATTTGCCCTTCCCTGGATAAGCAAACCCCGGGCCAGGGGAGGCTTCTCAGAGCGGCTAGGCCTCTAGTATCGTATATGCCCTGATAGAGGGGCCTGGACTTTTACGTTGGGACTTTGGGGGTACTGTACAGGCCCGGTAGGAGGGGGCCAAGCCCCTTGACAGGGGCGTACCCCCTGACAGAGCTCTATTCCAAATTATAATGAGAGACAGAGAGAATCTCTGTAAATCAGTGTTGATTCAAAGGAAAGGGTGAGAGTAGTGAATAATATTTTTCATAAGAGCTTTATAATTCTAATAGCTAACTATTTTAATTACCATTTTAATTGAGTCACAAAGTCACTTTGGAGTATTAGATAATACTACATATGGTACATTTTATGCCACAAAAAATGTTTTATCTGTTAATCTGGGTTGTAATAGTGGATGCTAACACTTAAGCAAATGTGGAAATGGAAACAAAATGCCGGCAGTAGCAGTTCTGGCAATAACAGTAGGTCCAGGAAATATGTGTTTATGAAAATATTGATTGAATAGATATCTTTAAAATTAAACAAAGGAGCAAAAATCACACACAATAAAACACATTCCGTTTTGATTGACTGAAGTGGTAGAACAGGAGGGAACTGTAGCATCAAATATACTCAGATGCCATCTGTAATTAACTACAGAAGAGGGTATTTTAAAAAGGTCTGTTTCTGAAAGATTGGTTGAAGCTACATTATTTTTTATCTCTAATGGAACTTTCAGCCCTCCTTGTGTTTTTCTAAAAGAATCCTTAAACACAAGTAAGTAAACCCATTTTCTACAGAAATGTTGTGTCTTGGTAATATATGCTATAAAATGAGCTAATATTAGTTCTGGTCAATGAGTAAACAGGGGAAGATATAATTCAACAAATGACACCAGTAGTTGTTAAAAGATATATTCAACAATATCTCTACAGTCAATTACTGTGGAATCTGGTAGAAAATACTATTCTTTTAATGATTAACAAAATTAAGTCTCTGTAATCCACTGGATGCATTTAACATTCTTTCTGGATAATGTTTCTAGAAAGTCTTTCTAGAAAGTCTGGGGCTCTGAACCATGATGGAATTGCTTGTGAGAAGAGATAATGAAACGTTCGTTTTTTGTGTGGTCCAGTCCCTATCCAGTTAGTATGATTTGGTTTTTAGATCTACAGTCTGTTCTGTTAACTTTTTCTCCATATTCAATTTGCTAATCTCCTGTGTGGCTATTAGTATATAAGATAAGTGGTAAATGAAAGAGTTAGTGTCACAAAGAGCACTTTAAATAAAGTAACAATGTAAGTATAATCAAATACGTCCTTGAAGTAAACCTCATTAAAAGCCTATAAAAATAATCAAAATGCTTCAATCTCCCAATCTAAGATAATACAACATAAGGTGTTATTTCGTCATTCTAAAAAAGAATTCAAAGTAAGGACTCCTATTCTTAATTTTCAGCTCCTGGGGAAAACTTACTCTGCACTCGTTGAAATAACTACAGTTGATGAAATACAGTGGAGAATCACGCGCAATGTCTTTGGTTTTTATGGAGTTCAATTCCTGCTTAAATACATTTTTGCTACATTTGCTGTAAGTTTCTGGGTAACACTGGAGTTAACATGTCCATCAGTGTGTTTGATATACTCACAAACAGCAGCTCTTTACTTTAGTCATAAAACAATCTTTAACAGTGTTATCATATAGTTAGATTAATGTTTAAAATGGTCTACCTGCGGTCCAACAACACCACCAGGACCTGGGGGGCCAGTTTTGCCTTGAAAACCCTGTGAAATGAAATATATAATACATAATTATGCATGGCAAGTTGTAGATGAGTAAAACTCAAATATATGCTGAAGAGGTGAGAGAAATTTCATGTTAGGAGTTCATCTTCAAGAATACACACTGAGAGCTCTATTATTCTGGTGTACCTAAATTTGAAATTTTCAAAGCCCTGTCCTTCCCAGTCATTGTTAGCGCTGCTCCTACAGAGCTATCATAAGAAATGCCAGTCACTTTTACACTTATCTTTCCATAAAATGTATTAGGTGATTTTGAATGCATGAGTGATACTTCTGGAACTCAGCTAAAAATACATATAGACACAGATACTATGAACTCATATGGCCAAGAGAGACAAATGTAAAGAAAGGCATGGATGGAAGATTGAGGAGTTTGGGAGAAGGTGATGTGGAAGGAACATAAAATTTAATCGAAAAAAGAAAATAGTGAGAATTTGAAATGAAGAAAATGGAAAGGAAAATATGAAGTGAATTTCAGCGGACAGTATTCCAAAAGAATGTCAAAATCTGAGGTTTCTGGTAAGCACCCACAGTCCTCAGTTCAAAGCAAATCAGCAAATTCTCTGGCATCCTCAATTCAAGTTATTGCCTATACAAGGGCTCAATCTTGCTCTTAAGAAGTAGTTCAGCATTGGAGGGAGTGTAGCCTGGCATAGCCTTGGAAGAATGAACTCACTGCTGCACAATATGTAATCTAGCATAACACTCCTGCACACTAGTATATCTCTGCATCCTTCACCCACAATGTGGTGTTCAACCCACATGATCCCTGAAAGGGGTAAGGTGGCTCAGATAGGGCCAGTTAACCTTATAAGTAGCACCTGGGGGAGAGCCCGGCTGGATTTATAAATTACTAATTGCTGATGAAGCCCAGCCGGAAGAGACGTTGGATGAATTTTGCAGCAGAAAAAGGCCATGAGAAGAGTCTGGGCTTGGTCTCTGGGCACAGAGAAAAGGGTAGGAGGAAACTTGGGGAAATAAAAAGTGGGTCTGGCCCACGAAAGCTCATCATCTAATAAACCATCTTGTTAGTCTTTAAAGTGCTACATTGTCCTGCATTTTGCTAAAAAGCCCTGAGAGCCTATTCCTGATGGAAGTGGATAAACTGAAGGGAGGAAAGTAGAGTAAGAAGAAAGCCTGAGGAAAGTAGAGTAAGAAGAAATCCTGGGAAAGAGCAGTAGAGGGGTTGAAAGTGTAGACCTTGGCTGTTATTGATAGGGTCCCAGGGCTAAAACAGGTGGGTTCTAGCTCCCCTACGAGAAATTGGGAAAGTGTCACAGGTACCAGGAATCACAGCACCTGAGACAAGTTGGATTTGGCTACACCAGCAGGGAAAGATTAGACAGGTGCATCTACACAGCACAGTTATTTTGAAATAACAATGTGAGCATCTACACAGCAATTCCATTATTTTGAAATAATTTTGAAATAAAAGACAGCTTATTCTGGCTTCTGTAAACCTCATTCCACAAGGAATAACGCTTCTTCCGAAACTGCTGTTTCAAAATAGCGGTAGTGTGGGCACTCCACTGCTGCTATTTTGAAATAGCTCCTCCCTAGGGTCATTCAAAGTAAATACTCCCTAGTGCTTCTTGGAGCTCTAAATCAAGGTACTGCATCCACATTAGGGGAGCCTGCCTCAGACTAATTTCAGGCTTCCCTGTAGTGTAGACGCATTATTTCGAAATAAGATATTTCAGAGTATTTCTTCTGGAATGGCTTATTCCGAAATAAGTGTAGCAGTACCCCTAGTGGCCTAACTGAAGGGCTGTGTGGTGAAGAGAGATCATCCTCATTTCGAGTGAGAGAAAGAGAGGCTATGGAGCAAACAAGCTATACAAGGGAGTTCAAGATCAGATGAGCTGATCCCTAGACCTAGCTCTGAAGAGGTGTTACAGTGGTGAGTGAAGCCCATTATAACCTATCTTCCTTTATCTTCACTGCCTATTTGCATAAAGGTACAATCTGACCTCATATTAGTTATGTGTTTTGTGCCCTATTCAGCATTCCTCACTCAGGTACAATTATCACTGATGTCAAAAGGAGTTTTCTCTGTGTCAGGAGACAGAAAGAAGTGTTGAACTGAGTCCATATTCAGTGAAACAGCCTTGAAAACATCTACTGATTCCACTTCTGCAGAAGACAGATGTGTTTCAGAGCATATTTGTCAAGTCTGTTTTTTCTCCTGTGCAATTAGCATATCTGCTCCTACAGTCTGATATAAGAATAAAAATGTAAAGGAGGTTTGTGAAAGTAGCAATGAGCATCAAAGGAGATCATAGAGACAGAGAATACCCAATCAGTTGACAATAAAACCCTTATACTACTCCATCAGGTGTGTGTATATTAGCAAGCAGAGCATACTCTTATAATATTCTTGTGGCATTTCATATGCTATATGAAGCTAAGCACATTGTAACAAATAAAAAAGAAATTCTGGTTCGGTGTGTCAGCTTTTTGTATTTTCCATATTTGTGGAGATGAATCAAGAGTCCTGCTGTAATATCTGTTTAAGCAGTTGATTCATCCTGATGAGCGAAATTATAAATCAATGCTACTAGTTGCTAAAGGAGTAACTGTAAATTATTTAGATCAAAATAATGTTCTTTTATTACATTGCCAATTTTATTTCTTTGGATTTCAGTGGGGTGTTAGTTCATAATACAACATGTATAGAGTCTTTCTCAAATGTACATTTATCCTTTGTAGACATACTTTTCCAGTAAGAACACCCAAACAGTTCTTGTGCTGTACAATTTTGTGCACTGTTTGGTCTCAATCACTCTTGGCTCTACTTTTCTAAATTGTTAGCTTTCAAGTTTCCTAGTAGGCTGGCACTAATACTTTTTTCTGCCATCTTACATGGCTCTTAGTGAGGCAAATATTATGTTGTTCCTCAGATGTCTTTTTCCAAGCTGATAACAGAGAATTATGTTGCCTCATTATCTATTGTATACTTAAGGTCAGTTTCATATTTTTAATGTGTAACAACCAGAAATAATTTCACCTTTAACACACAGACACAAAAATTAAAGTACCTGGCATCCAACCCACTAAGTTTTAATGGGTTTTCGCTTTCTATGAACAAAGTTAGGTACCAACATAAAATTCTCTCTCACTTTTTCCTGCAATTTTTGGTATAAAGCAAGGGAACTGTGCCTTCACTGACATTTTTTAAAAGATCACAGAGAACTAAGTAGGTGTGCGACAGCCTGAAACAGCAGAACCAATGTACTTACAGTCTCACCCCGCTGTCCTGGGTGCCCTGGCAAGCCATCTTTCCCGGGTGGCCCCTGAAATTGCAAGAAAAATAAATCAGAGGTTTCTCATTCATCTTTAGATTGGAAAATAATATGCAATAATCCCTAATAATCTCTGTGATCTTTTTTAGACTTTCAGGACAGCTTTTACTGCTTTGGTGAAAACTTGATACAATTTTAATATTTTACTTTTTTCTGCTGACTGCTTAATTCATGTAAAACTATCTGGATATTGATTGTGTGCGCCCTGGCCAGGCAATGGGGAAGGAAGGGTAATTGCCTCAGGATCCAGCAATTCAAAAGGGCCCAAGATCCTGTCTGCCTCTGCTACTATTGCAGCAGCTGGAGCCATGAGCCTTCGAAATCAGTCAGAGTGCCAGGTAGTGCTAAGGATGGCAGAGGTGGGGGACGCCATATGGTCCAGAGGCACTGAGGGGTTGCTACCCCAGCCCTGCCCCTCTATCCAAGGCCCTGCCCCTTCTGGGAGTGCAGAGTAGGCCCTCCTCCACATTGCCCAGGGGGCCTAGCAATCCTGTCAACCCCATGTGTGTGTATGTGCATGCACGTATGAAATGAATATCTAATATTTCAAAATTCAAAGTCTCTACATAATCCCTGAAAATAGTTTAATAATAAGCTTCTGGAGAGTTACAGCTATGGCACTGTTTAACAAGGGGCAGCATCAGAAAGACCGAAAATTAATTAAGCTAAATTAATTGTGATTAAAAAACATCTCCCGGATGATTTTTCCACCCTTCCTCCCTCTGAGCACAGGCACACTCCAAAGGTAGCACCAGAGGTCTAAACTACACTCCCAAGACCCAGGCACTGACAAAGGGTATGAATTTCCCCTTCCTTCACAATCATGGAACCATATTGCCAAGATTCTGTGGGGTGCAGAGCGGGAAAAGTTGGGACTTCCCAGTTGATATGGAAGCAAGAGACCTCTCGTGGCTCATCTCAGATTCCTGAGGAGCCTCTTGGAACAATTTATCTCATTCCTCTAATAAGAAAATAAAAGTGGAACTCTACTTCTCTGCCTATTCCTTTGGTTTTACCAAACTGATTTATTAATTAAAGGAGAACTACTCACAGGATAAGATTCTACAGAACAAAAGCATGAGACCATGACAAATTGGGCCCTGTGTTTTTGAAAGGCTATAAAAATAATCCTGGCTGATCCGAAATGCATGACCAAACTAAATTTGTATCCGGTTTGTGCAATGTACTCCATTTAGTATTAATCTACCAGGGACAGATCATATAGTTTTATATTAATTTGAGAATTTTCAGGCACAAGGGAAAAGAGAGGAAAAGAGACCTCTAGTGGTGGTCATCTCTGCTGATGAAACTAAGAAATGCGGCTGAAAATCGTCAGACACATCCCCTTCACTTTATAGCCATCCTCTTTATATGCAAAGCATACTAAATTTATCAGGATAGCCTTGCATAAGGAATATCACATACCCTCTAAAGCGTGTTATTTAGACAAAGAAAAAGCTTGGTGCTACACTGACACTTAAACAGAAATAATAATATAGGAAATGCACAGCACTGAAATCAGTGTAACTCCGTATTGATCAGATTACAGGATTATGATTTTGTTTGCCCATTTTAATACTTTCAACTTGTTTTGTTCTTCTATTATCTGTACTGGCCACTTTATATTTTCTTCTTTAAAACTGCTTAAAAATGTCAGGTCCCATTTTTACACTGAACCTTTATGAGCACCTGGTAAATATGCCATTAAAACTGTTAACCAGCTAATTCCAACAGAAGAGAGTGACATCATTCTAAACCCAAGATTCCTTTGATCTGAGAATATCAAAGCCTTTCAACAGATTTTTGACTGCACAGTTGGGTAACTTACTCAAAATAAATTGTCAGGCTCTGGAACAGAAATTAACAGGGAGAGAGAAACTGTGAGTGTCCTCAGTGTAGGTGTAGTTAGGATGAGCTTTGAAGACTAATTATGGGAAGTGATTTCATGTAAATGAGTTTTCTCCACTTCCCACCAGTGCGGCATCCAATTCATTTGTCTTCTGCGCATTCACAGGAACAGAGGTTTTTTAAAAACCTTCCATCCCAATCCGTCTAATATAAGTCTAGGTCTGTTGTAAAAGTTTTGGATCACTAACTTTTCAAGGTAAAATGCAGCCACTTAGTCAAGGTTTCCTTTACTTTTCATAAAAATAAATAAAATTTAAGAAGGACTTAAGAGATCATCCACAACAGCTCCAGAACGAGCTTTGGTTCAGAAATTGCATTTGTAAACAATATAAATGTATGAGGTGGATGGATTTACCCAACAGACTTCAACAGCTATAAATACTCTTACTGACTAATGAATCAATTTACTTTGTAACATATCCTAAATATGTATGTATATCTAACAGTATAGAAAGCCTTTACATATTTATATGGTAACCCTTAGTGTACCACATTTCTCATACATGATAGCTAAAACGTCTCTTTTTCCTTTCTTTTTAAAGTAAACTACTTTTAAAAGAATATTTATATTAGCAAAAGAAAGGGAACTCAGTCCCCCCGCCCCCGTGCATATCATTAAAACTGCAACATTTACAAACAAAACAGACTTATCATTCATTTAGAATAGCTGACTGCTTTGGATTTACGTAACAGGCTTTATAGCAGGGAAACTTAGGGGATGTTTTCCTGCTTGTAATCCTCATGCATTGAGGGAAGGACTTGACTAATTAAAATACAGCCCACCACCTCAGCTGCAAGCTCTAACATGATTTTTCATACACTGAAATAAAACGTTCTTTAATAATTATGTAAATTTGGCACATACACATTTAAAAAATACTTACAGGAGGTCCCTTTGGTCCAGGGAATCCAACAGGTCCTTGCGGCCCTTGTGGTCCCTAATATGAAGATAGTAAAAAGGCAAACTATTATTCCAGATGCTACAATGTCGGTCTGAAGAGTTTGCTTCAGTTATTAACACAGCCACCATGCATAATAGCAGGACCTGTGAATAAAGTGAGTTACATGTTGCATGTGAATACTGTTAGTAGTTCAAAGTCCCACTACAATACCTATGTAGAACAACCTATGTGGACCAAATTAGGGTCCACTAATTAATAAGAAGTCCTGATTATTTTTCAGTTAAGTTCAGTTCCATTAAGGGATGTGCAATTAATCTTAACCTGACTGCACTGCAGCCTTCTGTTACTCCTGGAAAAAAGCTCATATTGGCCAGTTCTCTCACACAGCCAAGTATTTGGAAATACTGTCAAAATTACTCCTGGGAAATATCTTAATTTCTGTTCCTCTTAAAGAACACAATACTTGCTTGCAAGAAAAATACAGAAGAGCCATGTCTAAAAATATTATATTGTAGGAGTTTTTCTGAAAGTTTTAAAATAATAAAATAAGCATGCAGTCCATATCATGGCTAGTGTCTAAGTTTGCATTGAAAATGAATCAAAGCCTTACCACTTTTACCATAAGCATTTGCTGTTGGTATGCTCAATGGGGCACAGGGTCTTAGGTTTAAGATTGAGTGTATAAGAACACATGCAATACAAAGAACTCAAAAAGGAGCATTCAAATCTTACTTTCTGTGGCCACACAGCAAAAATATGTACCCTAGTCATACAGTGCAGGGCTTGTTCTGTTCTGCCTGGTATATGATGTGTGGTTTTGCTAAAACATCAGATGTCAAAATGTTAGAAATGTAATGCAAAAGTCTTGAAAAGAAAGATAATTCATAAGGGACAGTGATGTTAGCTTTTTGCTCCTGTGATAAAGCTCTGACTGTCTCAGAGTTCCTTGAACCTCATTCATTGGAAACTGGGATACCAGGAAATGCAGGCTTTGAGCCAAATTATGACTGCCTGTCTTTTAGGGGGAGAAGTGATATGTATGTCCCAGGGAAAGGGCTGTTTGTTCAGTAGAAAGCAAGATTTGCCCTTAAGTGAATCTGAGTCCTATTTAAAACTTGAGTATCATTTATCAGTTAATGGTGTATAACCAAATCGTTAATGAGAAAATGTTCAAACTATACATTTTCTGAACACTATTCATATTTTCTAGAGCATTAACTATAAACTATTCCTGGAACTCCACCTTTACTCCTAAATATGGAACTCCACCTTTACTCCATATGATACATTCCTTGGTTCAAGTATCTGCATCTTAACCAGAATAAAAAAAAGTTAGAGACTTGCTTACAAAGCAGAAATTCTGAACAAAAATAGGACAACATATGAGAAAAATATTAAAAGTGACTGACCGACTCTCCAAAACATATGAAATAATTTGGTCTCTCTCTGGAACAGAGTTAGAACAACAGAATTTTATTGCTACCATTAGCACTTTCTTGGCCATAAGTCCCCTTTTTTCCCCTTTGATCCTCAAGTTGCAAGGCTGTTGTTAAAAAGAAATTTGAATTTTTTCATTCACGATCTGAGTTACGATTTCAGTCTAGTAGGCTGATGGAACATGAGAGAAGAATAGAGCATTCTAATATATTGTTAAATACACATTTCCTTGTCTCATTGTTTTTAAAGGTGCTCTTTGTTTAATATTTACACAAAGAGCAGTTGGAATATTTCCAACCATTCAGAAATGATCTTTTAAAGTTCCTCTTTTTTGGCTAACAACTCTCCCCTGTGTCATGTGCCTTATTTTAGAGCACATGGCCACAGTACATCAGTACTTTGAGATTAAAGGCTTGTTGTGCTCCTCTGACACATCCTACCTTTGAGTTAATCCATTCCTCTCCATTGACAACTCTGCTGCTTCCCCTCAGACATGGCCATCATTTTCTACGTTCTAGCCCACTCCCTACAATGCTGCCTTTTGTCTCTGTTCCCACTGACTCTGCCTTCCAAATTCTTCTGGAGCTCTGCTTTCCTGCTCCCCAAAGCCCATCTCCAAGCTCCGTGATGTGGATAGATCTAGTTTGGCCTGCTACTCCCACTCAACTTTCACCCCTACTACAATCACCCCTCCCTCCATTCCAGATTCCCATTCCACCTGTCCCCCACCCCTAATTCCCACATACTTCTCATTTCACCCACCCCTTCCCTCTGTCTCTCAGCTATGATTCATTCCCCCCTACTCCTATTCCACTCAGTTCCCTGACTTTCACCTGATACCCCGCTAATCCCTGCTTCCCCCTCACCACCATCTCCAGATCCCCCAACTGTGACTCCAAATCTTACATCTTGCTCTGTCTTACCACTCCTCCCCACTCCAGTTACTACTATTCAGCTGTGCCAGGAGCTCAGCTGGGCTCTGGGTGAGATTCTACTTCCAGGATTTAGTTAATGAAAAGTCATAGGAAGGAGGTGAAGGGCTTATTAACCTAAAACCTATATTGTACATGTAGCTGTAATGCATTTTTCTGTACACATTGAAAGGTTTTCCACCAGAAGTGTTGACATACTTTTTGTGGGCAGAGATTAGACTTTTAACTTTCCTAGTCATAAACAGACATGCACTTCCATTATAGGAGGAGATGTTGATTAAAAGCTGGCACATTCTGCTTGCCATTATTAGGGAATGTTCACTGTATTTGGTTGAATGTTGAGTCCAGCAGACACTTAAGCTATGAGAGCCTGAGATAAACAAAACCAAGCTCCACGGTCTCCTACAACTATTTTCTTCATACACCATTGGTCTCCAGCATTTAACTCTGCAGGCGCTACTGGCCATTAGTGCTTTTCAAACTTCTCACATGTTCACAGCAACATTTGCTTGTTTTTGCCCTGCTTCTGTTACTGCATTCAAGAAACCATCCTGAAAATTGAAATACTAGGGGGTTGGGGGGGGATGATGTGGCTTCTTATAACATGGGACAATGCTTCGGAAAATACAGCTTGAGCACACTGGACTCAAACAAACATTCCTGAAGTCAAAAGGGGAAAAGAATCTCTTTTGGGAACTTGATTGTTGATTTTTTTTAAAGGTTTCCGTTCATGTGCACTATATGGCTATGTAAAAATAAACCACAGATATGTTTGTGTGAAAACTGGGATGATGCAAGATGTTGTCATCCAAACTTTAGCCTCCCCACATACCCAATCAAAGAGCAGATTCACTTATCTGTAGGAGTTAATCCCTGGTCTGTGATTACAAATCAATTATATATTTTTCTGTGTGCTACTGTATTATAGACTGTTTGATTGTACATTGATTAAAACTGAATATCATATAGGAGATTCTATTTTAACCACCATCAGCAGTTCTCAAGCATGTGAAACATGTTTACGGGAATTCTTTGGTGATTAGGACAAAAAAAATCAGTCAGTGTCAATTCATTAGTTTTTTGAGGCGATTAGTCCTTAAAACCTATATACTAACAGCAACTCTGTTAAACTGGACATTTTTATTAGTACTGAGAATCTCACAAAGGTCAGAAAGATAATTTGGCTTGTTTGGATATGCACCCAAAAGTCTGGATGGTTATTTCAGGCTCATCTGAATGACTCCAATCTCTTGGGGATGTACAACTGAGTGTTTGAGATGAAAAAAACAAGGTTTCAAGATTTTCTGCTTCTTACTGGGAAGGCAGGATAGCATTGTAAGAAAGTGCACCCTTGTGGTACAGTATGACAGTGCAATTGAATCACATGCCACTCAGAGAAGTGCAAAGGCACGACAAAACAGGGAGAAAGGAGAAAGAGGAAAGAGAAGGGGGTGCAGGAAATAGTTATGTAAGTGAAGAGGAAAAGCTATTCCAGACTTACCCTTTCACCTGGTGGACCGGGAGGGCCATCGCTGCCTGCGGTGCCCTGAAAAAAAATACAGTTTGTTCAAAGGTAAAGCTTGATTTTCTTTGAGAAATAGTTTGCAGTAAATCGGGACATAGCATCTGACAATTACCTTAGGGCCTGGTTTTCCCGTAGGACCTCGTGGGCCTCTTGATCCCCGTGGACCCTGTGGATTTGAAGGACACATGCAACTGGTGATAATTATCATACAGGGCAGTGAATCAGAGTCAGCCAGGCAGTGTTACACTAGATGTAAAACAGTGGTCCCCAACCTTTTGAGGTTGTCGGGCGCCAGGGGGCGTGGCCGTTCGCCCGCCGGGCGCCTGGGGGCGGGGGCGGGGCCGTCCGCCTGCCGGGCGCCAGGGGGCGGGGCCCCCCCCATAGCCACGCGCCCGGGGCCGGCGCTCCCCCCAACTCCCACAAGCGCCGCGCGCCCGGGGCCGGCGCTTACCGTGCGCCATGTGCCCGGGGCCAGGCCAGCCCCGAGCACCTGGCGGGCGCATGCAAATGCCCCCATGGGTGCCATGGCGCCCACGGGCACCGTGTTGGGGACCACGGATGTAAAATATACTGAGGTGGGAATGCAAGTCATGATTTTAAACAAGCAAAAGAAGGTACACACCGTTGGTCCTCGCTGTCCCCTTGGACCTGGTTTGCCATGTAAACCCTGCCAATGAAAGTCCAAAAACATCATCTTAGTATGTGGCATTTGACTGGGAATGAAAGTGTTGCTGTTAAAATGGGGCAGTATGCAGTTCTCCTAGGACTAAATGCTATTTGACTTCCCATCCCCTCTGCATTTTAATTTAAATAAGCGAGTGTTTACTAAAACTGGCCATCTTGGGTTGTGCATGTAACTTATAGAATCATAGAACCATAGAGCTAGAAGAGACCTCAGAAGGTCATCAAGTCCATCCCCCTGCCCTAGGCAGGACCAATCCCAACTAAATCAACCCAGCCAGGGCTTTGTCAAGCCAAGACTTAAAAATCTCTAGGGATGGAGACTCCACCACTTCCCTAGGTAACCCATTCCAGTGCTTCACCACCCTCCTAGTGAAAGAGTTTTTCCTAGTATCCAACCTGGACCTCTCCCACCGCAACTTGAGACCATTGTTCCTTGTTCTGCCATCCGTCACTACTGAGAACAGCCTTTCTCCAGCCTCTTTGGAACCTCCCTTCAGGAAGTTGAAGGCTGCTATCAAATCCCCCCTCCCTCTTTGCTTCTGCAGACTAAATGGACCCAATTCCCTCAGCCTCTCCTCGTAGGTCATATGCTCCAGCCCCCTAATCATTTTCGTTGCCCTCCACTGGACCCTCTCCAATGCATCCACATCCTTTTTGTAGTGGGAGGCCCAGAACTGGACACAATACTCCAGATGTGGCCTCACAAGAGCCAAATAAAGGGGAATAATCACATCTCTCGATCTGCTGGCAATGCTTCTCCTAATGCAACCTAATATGTCATTAGCCTTCTTGACTATAAAGGCACACTGTTGACTCATACTTCTACTGTAACACTAGTTTCTGCCCTTGGCATCAGAGCATGTTAATGTTGCTGCATAATCCCTTAACAGCTACAATTCTGGATCATCCTGTAAGAGGGTACATCACACTTTCTCTGAACAACTCCACTGGCTAAGAAGGGAAATTGAACTGGTAATCATCTCTTTATAGGAGGGAGCAGGGACCATACTGCATAATCCTCACACATCTTGGCCCTTAATATGTAGCTCCAATATATCTTTGATATGGAGACTCTATAGATCCCTTTCTTGAAGTGGACTAGGACTATAATGGATTCTAAAGTGAAGAAGCTTTTTAATTCAAGGAGCAGTATGTTCCTGATAGGAAAAAGAAACACAATGGCTGTTACTTATTAAAATCTACATTGTAAACCAAACAAAAAACAAGTTCCATTTTAAAAAGAGTAAATGTGTATTCCATCTATTTTGTCATCATACAAAATACTATTTTAATACTATAATACTGCTCAGGTTGTATGCTCTCTGGGTATGTCTGCACAGCAAAGAAAAAACACGTCTGGTGCATGCCAGCTGACTCAGGCTCAAAGAGCTTGGGCTACAGAGCTATTTCACTGCTGTGTAGACTTCTGGTTGTGGGTGGGAGTCTGGGATCTTGGAACCTATAAGATGGGAGGGTCCCAGAGCCTGGGCTCCAACACAAGCCCAGAAATCTATACTGCAGTGAAACAGCCCTGTAGCCTTAGCCCACATCAGCTGGCACAGGACAGCATTGAGTGTGTAGTTCCTGGGTAGACATACTCTTGGAGGCAGGGACTGTCTTTTCATTGTGCCTACTGTGATTACCACAATGAATTTCTGATCCATGGTTAGGTCTTCAGACTACACTACTATTACTACTACCTGTAATAGATAAAAGCTAGATTCACTGGTCTAATTCAGAAGTTCATGATTAAATGCCTGGCTAAATTGAAGGTTTTTTTGAGTTTTCCAGACAGCAGTGCAGTGATCTTCCTTTTACCCTTTGCCCCTTTTTACTTTACTGTGGTTGGAGACTCTCCATGTGCTTCAAATAGAGAAGCAGAAAAATCTGACGTTTTCATTTCACTTGATAAGTATATGTTCTTCATCCTGCTTGCTATAATCTGATGAGTCACAATGCCTAAGAAAATCCAAGTTAAATTCCCTTAAAGGTAAATTGCATGGTATTTAGATAAGTCTAGCTAGCCCACTTTCAGTATGAACTGTTTCAGAAGATGAAACACACTCCCTAATGGACAATTATTGAATAAGCTACCTCATGAGAGAACTTCTATATAGCCTCAGATACCAAGTGGTTGAATTAACATCTTGAAGCATGATGATTTATGTGTCATGCAGTTTGATCCTATTTTATGTAAGGCTATGTTTACACTACCAGATTATTTTGAAATAACAACTCCCAAAATAACTATTTTGAAATAAGCTTATTCTTCTTTACAAGCAGGAGTTATTATTTTGAAACAACAGACTTGGTAGTATAAACACTTAGGGTTTGTCTAGACTACTGAGTTTTTTAGAAAAAAAGTGGACTTTTTTTGAAAAAAATTCACCTGCATCTAGACTGCCATTGAATTCTTTCAAAATGGAATCAAAAGAACGCGGCGGTATTTTCTAAATTGGTAAACCTACTTTTACCAGGAAGAACACCTTTTGTCGAAAGAGCTCTTTCGACAAAAGGCATTCTTTAATGCAAATAGGGCTTTTTTGAAAGAGAGCATCCAGATTGCCTGAGTGCTCTCTTTCAAAAAAGCAGATCGCTTTTTCTAAACCCTTGTGGCTGTCTAGATGATCGCTTTCAAAAGAGGCTTTTTCGAAAGAGCTCTTTCCAAAAAGCTTCTTTCGAAAGAGGCTTGTAATCTAGACGTACCCTTGCCTTGTTATTTCAAAATAAGAGGAGTTATTTTCAAATAACTTCCCAGTGTTGAAATGACCTAATTGTGGATGTTCATTCTTATCCAGCTAAAGATCCAATGCTATAATATCTCAATGTTCTCCTGAAACTTCTTGCCTCTATATCTTTTAGCAGAAAGCTCCACAGGCTATTTAAGCATTGTGTTAAAAAAAGTATATCATACCCTTGCACCTTTCTCTCCATTAGCACCTGGGAATCCTGGAAAACCAGTGGAGCCCTGTATGAGAAATGAATACAAATATAGGAAAATATCTACCATACCACTACAATACATTCAGTACCTACTCTAGAATTAAAGCATATCACCAAACTGATGCAAAATGTATAGTGCGTCTAGATTAATGGAAATAGTTTTTAAAGATGTCAGCTCTGGTGAATATTTGTAAATTAACTTACCATAATACTGCACATCCTGACTGCATTAAAAAGATCAACATGTGTAATGGCATTATTTTCAGAAGCATCAATAAGAAAGTATTTGACAAATCTCTAATTATAGTTAACAGTTGGAAAGGAAAGTTCATTAACCACCACTAGAAATGTTTATTAGATCATAACCAAGAGAGGTGAATTTTGGGAATTTGCCTTTGCTCAATCAGAGCAGCAGAACTAAAATCCTTTTGTAAATGCTATATCAGCATTCCCTCAAAGCACTCTTTGGGTACGTCTACACTGCGGGCTAAAGTCAAGTTAAGATATGCAACTTCAGCAACATTAATTGCATAGCTGAAATCAAAGTACTTTAACTTGACTTTTGGCACTATCCACACAGCAGGAAGTCAAAGGAAGAACACTCTTCCTTCGACTTCCCTTACTCCTCATGAAATGAGGGTTACAGAGGTTGGAGTAAGAAACCCGTTATTTCAAAATTATTTCAAAATAATGGGCTTGCTGTGTAGAGGCACACTCTGTTATTTTGAAATAAGAGAGCAGTGTAGACATAGCCTTGTCGGCCTTATTGCTCTTTTAGTCAGATATTTAAGAGGGCTGATTTGCACTTTTCTTTTCAAGTGGTTGTTATAGTGTATTCACATTCACATTTCATTGTCACAATATGACTAATATAAAGACCCCAGTTGTATCTGAGTTAGGTAACTCAACAGAAAGAATCTGTTTTAGCAGAACTCTCTTTACACACAGCACTGACATTCTAAAGGTGGTTGTGCAATGGGATTGCATACAACCCAGAACATAACATGGGCTGTGTTTCAGGAAAAAGCCTGAAGTCTGAGATGATACTGTTTGCTGGTCCCTATCTTACACCATTTCTCCATCGCCTTCTGACAGAGCCCACCATGCCTTCTAACTTCAATAGCAATTGCATATATGTATTTATTTGAAGGATAAGCGCTACTATTTATTATGGATGCATCCTCTCCCACATATTTTCAGACACCCACATTTATATTAAAATATATATAATACCCCCACCAATGAGCTCTCAGATCAGCTTTAATATTGGAGAGTCTCTGCCAGGATGAGACAACATGCAGTGTGCAAAAAGCCCCGAATTTCCTAATCAGGAGAAATATTTAGGATGAGCTAACCACTTATGCTTTTCATTTACATGGAGACTGCACCTTTACCAACACTGGTCAGCAGGACTATTGTTCAAAGGAATAAGAGCTCTCCAAAAGAAACTCTTGCTAAGTGATGCCCCCTCTTATCTTTCAAATGAAAATGACACATATGTGCCAGTGTTATAACCAAAGTTGATAGAGTTGTTCATTCTATTCATAAAAAGGCGACCATTGGACAATCACAAGCTATTACTCTATGGAACGATGTTCACATAACAAACTTAGAGGTAAATAAGCTAATGGGCGCTCACAGTAACTAACCATTAACCATGGCACATTCACTTAGACCTGCAATGGAAGAACCTAATAGTATACGGTTCACAGAGAGAATTTAGAAACTATCATGACCATCAGAAATGATTTGTTAAACTTAGCTAAGGAGCTATAAATATCACCATTCTCTCTACTCTTAACAAAATGTTACAAGGATAATTAACATGAGCAACAAATTCAGCTCTTTTCTTACTTCTGCCATATCATTCTGGAAGATAATGCTGGCTTGTCAGCTGCCAATGCACTTTGCAGGGGGAGAAGGGGATGTGACATGGGGCTGCAAAAGACCACTGTCTTGATACAACCTGTTTTCAAGTTACTGGAGATTAAAAATCACAGGCATGTTTGATTTGGCCTGTTGAGCAGGTAGTCCAAGCCATATTCTGTTCAATTCCCTGCTGGCTAGATCATTCATCTCTGTATACACAACATTTTAGCGTGTTTTTCTTTTTGTTGGTTTAGAAACAGGTAAACAGCTAGCTAAAACTGGCCATTCTATTTGTAGCATCAATAATTATGATTTTATCTTTGTTTTTAAGTTCTTCATGGTTTCCTTTTACTATTCCTTATTTATGACCCGGCAATCCATTTACCCACCAAGTTTTCTTTTTTGGTCAGATAGCCCCAGTGATGATGGTTTCAGTGAACAGAGAAAGAAGGAATTTCTTGTTTGAATTGTTTTCACCAGTTGTGAATTAAGTTGTGTGTAAAACTTGAACAAAGTCTAATTTATTATGAGGGCCAAGTTTTCCATTAAAAATGTGTGTTATAGTACAAGAGACATTAGTATAGAAATTAGTATGAGAGGTTTAGCTATATATATTTAATATATACAGGCTGCACCTCCGATAACCAGCACTCTCGGGTCTGGCAACATCCCTAGTCCTGCCAGACCATGGTTGTTCCTGGACCAGAGAGCCCTGGGAGCCTAGTGGCAGGAGGGCCAGCACCCAGTAATGGAGCTGGGGTCAATGCCTATGGCAGTAGAGCCAGGACCAGAGCCTGCAGCAGCACAGCCAAGGCTAGCAGCCCAGCAGGCAGTCTTGCCAGGGTCAGGGGGCAGAGGGGCCAGAAGCGGGGCTATAGGCAGAGGGCCTGGCTGGGGCAGAAACGGAGCCAGAATTGCTGATGGGTGGCAGGCTGGGCTGTTTGTACCAGGGACCACCGCTAGTCCAGGAAATTCTCTTGTTCGGGACTAGTCAAGTCCCGAGGGTGCTGGACCAGAGAGGTCCCACCTGTACAGTATTTACTACAATCAAACTGATGAGGACTGGATTTGAGAAAATATAGTGAAATTCTCTTATACTAGTATCTGTGCATAAGAACTGCACACAGAAGCACATTCATACAAGGTGAATGAGTGGTAGAAAAAAAATCACTTTGAACCATCTACTGACTACAGGGACAGGACTTCTTATTTCCTTTAGACAATCATTATAAATTGTGTGCACTTCTCATTCTGTCATCCTTTCTAATGCAAATTTTAACAAAACTTTGGGTAGAAAAACATGCTATCCAAGATGAATAAGACTGGCCAAGTAGGCCCTGAGTGATTTGATGCAGTGTAGCAGTCAATACTCTTTCTAATCTGGTTGCCTACATTTCATAGAATAGCCAACAGTGAATATAGTTTAAATTATATTCAGTTTTAACTGAAGATAGATGAATACTTAAATTAACGAAATTCCCAATGTCTATATTGCAAAAATCCACCAATTTTCTTTGAAGTGTACATCTTTTTTATTCTTAATACTGAATAATGTAAAACTTCTTTGATCTTAGACACTTCAAAAGAGTTCTGAAGTAAAGTAGAACAAAAAGGAACACTGAAATCTCAGACATGAAGTTAAAAGGCAGAAGCAAGAAAATATCTCTTCATCAAGAATATTCACCTTGATAAACACTTTCCTTAGACTGCTAGATCCTATTGCATTAACACCAAGTATTCAATGAATAAATGCTCATAAGAGAGTTTACTTAGCGGAAACACAGAGCCCAATTGTAGGCTATATACATAACAACACTTCAGTAAGTTACCCAAAAAGTGTTATAGCTGCCAAAAAAAAAATCACCCATTCAAATTTGGAAGTACAGATCCCATGGTTCTCAGACTATGGGGTGAACCTCCCCAGGGAGATGTGGAAATATGTCAAGGGAGGCCCGCCTGTGGTGCATGGCTTTTTTAAGAGCTCTTGCTATCAGCCCTAGGTGCCTGGGGCTTATAAATGTATTTGTATGTATGTGTGTGTGGGGGTAGGGTGTAAAGTACACTAGACACACAGAAAGGGGAATGATCAAATAAGTTTGAGAATCACTGAACTAGAGAAAAGCTCAATATTTTACTGAGATGACATTCGGTCTTGCTAAAGGGATAGGAGCTTTTCATTTATTGTACTATGAATTCCTAGCTGTCTCATCTTTGACACATCTGAAGGTGAGATGTAGAGAGGGACTTTCACAGACACTAGGAAATGTCACTGACATCTTTAACATTCTTATTCCTGCCTAGTCTGAATAGGATTTTTTAAATAAATCTTTCTAATGTTTGGTTAATCTACACTATGCCACTTTGCAAAGCAATGTTAAACTAATCATTTTAAAAATGCAAATTACCATTATTTGGTCATAATAAATAATTTAGAAACCAAACCAGCTAACACAGATACTTTCTAGTGGCAATACAGTCCACATGATACATGAAGGAGGGAAAACTGCAAAACAAACAAAAGAGGGAATTGTGGACAGAAAATAGGGCATTAACTCAGGAGAAAGAACATAGTTAAGCATTCTGGTTATAGGAATGTCAAGCAACAGACATCAGTCACCCAACACAACAGAAGCAAAGGAAAAAATATAAAGAAAACTGTAGAAGACAATATTGTAAGAATGCAACTCATGTCCTGCATGGCCATACACCTAAAAATGTGTTGGAGATCATAGATGGCTCTTCCTATAGCAAGTGGAAGATAGCAGACACATAGTAGTGAGAGTCTACAAACTGGATCTGGGTCCTCAGACCATGTGGAAAATTCCCATGCACATCAGTGTGACTTCTCTGGGCAATATATGGCTTTTAGTCTTAAGGAAGCCATATATTCCGTATCAGCAGTTGACTCTCTTTCAACAGTCTATGATGTGCATAATATATGGCTGCCACAGATATATAATGCAAATAAGATTGACAGGGGCTTAGAAGTTATATGGTTGAGGAAAGGGAAAACAGTAGTCCTTAATAAATAACTGTTATGTATATAAAACTTCTTTTAATATACATTTAAACATTATGGCTAGGAAAGCAAGAGTGAGAAACAACTTGATGTTGGATGCCTGTGTCCTCCTTCCTTAAACATAAAACTAACAGAGCAGCAGCCATTGTGGCTAATTTGTCCAGAGCATACCCACTTTTGGGTTCCATAAATAAAACTAACTCATTTACCTTTGGACCTTGTCTTCCTGGATATCCTGGCAGTCCTGGTACCCCAAGTTTACCCTGAAATTAAAAAAAAATGTTTCTAATAGTTCTTAGTAGTGCTATCATACCTTTATATGGAGTTTGTTTTCCTCCATAACACACACAATCAATTTTTTATTATTTTTTTCTTCACGCTTCACCTATTTGCTTCCTGAGACTTAGCCAACTAGCTTTGTTTCCAAAACTTTATTTCCAGGGATGAAATCTTAAAACTGGTGAAATGGATAACATTTTGCCATTGACTTCAAAGAATCCAAGATTTTACCCCAACACTCTTCCAACACAGTAGTAGAGTGTCAGTGGCAACAAAACAACACATTTTTTAACACAAAAGGCAGCTCCCATAAAAGCTCAATTAGCGCTCTTGATGTGGCACAATACTATAGCTAATTTGTTTTCTTTATCTATAATCTCCATGAAAACAGGTTGACATTTGAAGGTCAGGCTGCACAGCTGTCCTGAAGAGTTCTAACCAATATCAGAAAACATCACTGAAAATCAAACCCCAAGAATAATCCAATATCACATAATATCTAGTGTGGTTAGAGAAATACGGCCATTTCCTCCTCATCAAACAGGAAAATAGGCTGAGTACATTGATGCTACTGATGTTACTAATTCCACTGCCTGAAGTTGGAAGGGGGAACAATGCTGCATTCAGATCTCACACTATAGTCCCACACTATAGTCTTGGGTAATGAAACAAACAAGTATGCTAATTTGTTATGTTCAAAAAATAAGGAAAGGTTGTTCTGATTTCTAAGAGTCCAAGCAACTATAAAAGAATGTGGGTATTGTAAAAATACAGTATTCCAGACCATCACGTTGTTGAAGTGGCCTCCATGGAAAAGATATGGGAATACAACATGATCTTCTACTCTAGCAATAATCTGGGATAGTAAAAAAGACAAGGGAGAGTCCCTACATGGACAGTGGTATTTGGCAAAATAAATGTGTGTTCTTAAAAAATAAAATAGATGAATGAAGATGCAGGATATAACTCATGTTTCTGAAAGCTTGTTTGTGCCTGGCAGGAGATATTATTAAAGAAGAATTCAGCCACACTGACATTCCCCATCAAAGCCAATTGAATGCATTAGAACTAATTAAAGTAGCATCCCCTAAAATAAAAATTTCACAGCATGACATTGCATCACACCCTGATACATTCAGTGGGATCCCCCGATTTCAATGGGAATATGGACCAAGCTGACTATTTCAAGCCTTTTTGGTGACAAGGTCCTTTATGCTCATTTACTCTTTCTTCAATATGCACAGGCATTATTTGAGCAAATTCAACCCCTTCCCTCCTTGAGTTTGGAGGGTTCCCACATGAAAGTGGCCACATAAAAGTGGGGAACACAGAAGAATCAAAGTGATCTTCAGGATGTTGTGGAGCTGTTCAGGGCTGGGCACCTTCTCTATGGTATGGACCTTCCAGTGAGTAGTAGAGGACAGGCCATGGATTGCTGCTGTCATATGGATCTTCCTTCTCTCCCACCCTCTTGTTGATGTGTGAAGATGTTAGGGTCATAGAGGCAATTCCAACTATTAGACTGCAGGAACCTTCGCAGAGCAATTCTGCAACTGACACATATCATGAAGAGCAATGAGCAGTCTCCTCCAACCCATTGCTCATTGGCTCAGCGTGAGCTGGACATTTGACTCAGATTAAAAATATAAGGAGTTAAAAATGGGAATAATGGAAATAATCTGGATCAAATGTTTCAGTGGCTAATCTAAATCAAGCCAATTTAACTCATAGTTCTGTCACTAGTCTTCTGGTATTTGGTATACTTCTTAAAGCGCCAGCTACTGAAATCAAGAAGATTATGGGAAAATCTCAATTTTCCTACAGGTGGGAGGAAATTGGACAACATTCAAAGCTCAAAATACAGAATGCAATTCAATAGAAGCTTACATTAGTTATATTTTAAAATCTTTTGATTTAAAACCCATCTCATGATTTTTTTAATTGTATTTTGAGTATTTGGGGTTTGGCTATACTGAAAAAACTCTTTAAACTGTACATTCATTTGGAAATATCATGTCAGCAATACACTTTCCTATGTTTTCTCCAGGTCAGATATGGTCTAGGAATATCCTATTTTGTAATATTTCAGTAATCTCAGTCCTGGCTGAAAACAGAAAATGCAGAGTTCAGAAATTATATAAAAGAAGCTAACTAAAGAGTTAGTTATGGGTTTGGAAAAAAAAAAGTTCTTCTCAATTCTTATTTTAATAGAACTTGTTCACTGATCCAGTTACCATAGAATGCAATGTGATATTACAATTGGAATTGTGTTTCCATTCATCCAGGATAATAGTTCTAGCCTTCTTTTGTTATATGTTCTTTGATTCATGACCTTGTTATCCTCTGGTAGGGCATTCTGCAACATTTTGGGAAACATTAATTCATAAATAGCTCCCAATAGTTAAATAAAACAGAAAATAACTTTTCTTGAAATGAGTGAACTGACTTCTAAGAAGTTATTTGATGACAGCTTATGACTGATTCCAGTACCAAATCATAAATGTAACCTTTCCTGAACTTCTAGTATGAAAATAAATAATTATGAAAAGTAATGTTATGTTTGTGACAAGAAGCAACTTATAATGAAAGTTCTACTATTCAAAAGTTCTATTTCTACACTATGCTCCTTTCTTTTTAGTTCCTTCTGCTGAAACTCTAATCCATGATCCTGATCCTCTCTCTTATATCAAACATCTATATACTCCTTTATATATGTTTAAATACTGTATAGACTTTATTTTTATTAGACATTTTGCCCTACAGGATAAAGAGGAACTGACCACAGAATTGAAATTTAATGATAACTTGGATGCAAATATGATCATATTTATAATGTACAAGTGACTAAAGTACAGATATCTCTCTCCGATCAATTTCAAAGATAACAAAAAAAAAAACAGTTATGAGCCAAATCAGCTGTGAGGAGGAATTTAATCAGCTAAACTGAATTATAAATTGTAAAAACTTAAGAATGCCTTACTATTTGCCCCAAAAGCCTCAATAGCATACCTAAGGAAGAAGACTACACTGATTTAAAAAAAACTAATCTGGTTTAGAGAAAGAGTTAAGACATCTATAGAAATAATAAATGGAAGACAGTGAAAGCTTATATTAAGAAATATAAATCAAAAGTTAAGAATTGTAGAAAATTAGTAAGGGAAGCAGAGAGACACAAAGAGAAATCTATAGGTAGAAGAGTTAAGGTAAATAAGGAGTTTTTAAAATATAAGTTTGGAACAAAAATAATCCTGATAATGGCATAGATCCATTATTAAATGATAATGGTAGAATTATCAATAATAATTCAGGAAAAAAGCAGAAGTATTGAATAAATATTTCTGTTCTATTCCTGGATCAAAACAGATGCCATAGTCTCATCATATGATGATTATAACAGTCTTTCTATTCCAAAAGTATCTCTGGAGGATTTTAAACAACAGCTATTACATTTAAGCATTTTAAAATAAGCGGATCCGGGTAACTTGCATTCCAGAGTTTTAAAAGAGCTGACTGATGAGCTAGCTGGACATTATTGTTGATTTCCAATAAGTCCTGGAACACTGGGAAAATTCCAAAAGAAAGCAAATGTCATGCTCACTTTGGGATGGTAAAAGGGATGATATGGAAAATTATATGACTCTCAACCTTATAACATCAACCCTGAGAAAAATAATGGAGTGGATGATACAGGATTGATTAGTAAAGAATTAAAAGAGGATGAGGTAATTAACATAAATCAATATGGGTTTATGTAAAATAGATCCTATTACAATAATTTCAATTTTTATGACATTACAGGTTTGGTTGATAAAGGTTATAGTAATATTGTAATATACTTAGATTTCTATACATTGTATGACTCGAGACTTTACAACATTTTGATTTAAAACTAGAAAAATATAAAATTAACATACCATCTCATAGAATTGGAAGGGACATTGAGAGATCATCGACTCCAGTCCCCTGACCTCACAGCAGGACTAAGTACCATTCCTGACAGATTTACCCCAGAACCCTAAATTGGCCCCCTCAAGGATTGAACTCACAACCCTGGGTTTAGCAGGCCAATGTTCAAACCACTGAACATATTAAATGGATTCAAACTGGCTAAATGATAGATTTCAAAATGTAATTATAAATGTGTAATAGTCATCAAGCTAATGTGTAGAAGTCTTCTGGAAACAGTTCTTGGTCCTATGCTATTTAATGTTTTTATCAATGAACCGGGGAACAAAAAACAAAGCCATCACTGATCAACTTTGCAGATTACCCAAAAAATGGGAAAGCGGTAAATAATGTACATGACAAGTCTCTAATTCAGAGCTATCTGGAACACTTGGTAAAATGGGAGCAAGCAAACAACATGCATTTAAACATAGATAAATACATATGTAAACATCTAGGAACAAAGAATGTGGGCCATACTTACAGGATGGGGGGGGGGCTCGATCCTGGGAAATAATACTGAAAATTATTTGGGGGTCATGGTGGATAAATATGAGCCCCTAGTGCAAAGCTGTGGCCAAAAGAGAAAATGTGATCTTGGGAAGCATAAACAGGAAAATCATGAGTTGGTGTGGAGAGGTTATTTTACATCTGTACTGGTGACCTCTGCTGAGATACTGAGTCCAGTTCTGGTTCCACAATTCAAGAAGAATATTAGTAAATTGGAGTGGGTTTAAAGAAAACCAAGAGAACGAGTAAATGATTAGAAAATGTGCTCTAATAATAGATGCAAGGAGTTCAATTTAGTTAGCTTCAGAAAAAGAACTTTAGGGGGTGACTTGATTACAGTCTGTAAGTATCTACATGAGGAACAAATTCTAATAATGGGCCCTTCAAGATAGCAGAGAAAGGCATAATCTAATCCAAAGGCTGAGAGCAAAAGCTAGATAAATTCCAACTGGAAATAAGTCATATATTTTCAGCTGTGAGGGTAATTAACCATTGGAACAATTTTCCAAGGATTGTGGTGAATTTTGCATTTCTGGCAATTATTAAGAGTTGAATTATTTTGAGGACGTTCTATGGACACTGTTATACAGGAGGAACAGACTAAATGATCAAAGGGTCCTATGAATCTAATCCTCACATCAGGCCTACGAGATTCCAGGGTTAAGTACTATCACTTCCATTGCAAAGATAGAGAAACAGACATGGAAATGTGATATGACTTTCTTAATGCCATGCTGAGATAAAGCCAGGATTAAAATTAGAGTGAGTCAAAATAACTTGGACAAAACCATTTTCCATCAGAAAATACAGTCCTATCAAAACTGAAATGCTTCTCAAAATTGCATCGATCCTGTCAAAGTTTCATTTTTTGAAAAATATTTGTCTTGAGTGATAGGTTCTGAAACCGTTGAAATGAGCCATTTTGATATTTTTAAACAAAACACTTGTGTTTGTATTTCATCCTGTTTGTTTAGACCAATTTGTTTGGTGTCTGAAATGCATATAAGCTAGCCTGTCTTTTAATTTCTTTCTCTCTCTCTCTCTAGATATATATAGATATAGATATATAAATAAATAAATTAGAATCAAATCAAAACATGTTTACTTTAACAAAATGAAACACAATCCAGTGGACATAGAATGAATAAAATGAGTTTTTTTCTTTTGTGGAGAAATTTGAAATTTGAGGGTTTGTTCCAATCTAGAATGACTCCAGTGTTTAAAATCTCACAATCCTCTGGGAAACATTTCCCATGCTCCCCACAGCTCAGATGATTCCAACCTATATCTCTTGATTCCAACTTATATCTTCATCCCTAGGAGCACTGATGAGCAAGGACAAAGGAAGCAGTTGCCCTAGGGCCCAGCAGTTTAAAAGGGTCCGGGGCTCTGGGTCCTTTAAATTGCTTCCAGAGCTCTGTACATTATGGAGGCTGGCTGGAAGAGGCACGGCACAGTCTGGGTAGTGCTGATGGTTGGCTACCCATAGCCCCATCCCTTCTGCCTGAGATTCTGCCCCTTCAAAGGCCTAGAGCCAGCTCCCTGGCCCCTCAGGGCCCAGCAAAGTCTGTTGCCGGCCCTGCTCATCCCCCTTTACGTCTCTTCTACCACAAGCTCCCTTCTTTTGTTCTCTTATTTGTTATCTCTCTCCTGCCCCTGGCTACCCAAAACACGGCATTGAAATCATCTTCCTTTATTGCCACTTCAACCTTTTACACATCAAGCCTTCGATTTTACCTTCAAATCTCTTCTCCTGCTTCCTGTCTCTCTTTCTGTATACAGTTCAAGATCATTGTTCTCATTTTCAAGATTCTACATATCATGCCCTCCATACATCTGAATCCTTGTTTTTTACTATGTTTTTGAATGCCCCCCAGATTGTTCACTTTTCCTTCTAAGTAGCACCTTTCCTTTCTCTCCTTCTGCCACTCCTGATTTTGTGGTTTTTGTCACAATATTCCTTTATTAAAAACAAAACTTTGCTCTGCCCATTCATCAAGTAATTTCTGCTCCTTCAGACCTTCTGTATAGCCTTTCAATGCCAAACTGCTCTCCAGCACTGTCTCCATCATTTTTGGCATCAAGTCATTTTCTTTGACTCATATTTGTCTTTGTTTGATGAGACTGTAATCAATTCCGAAAAGGGCTTTGTTGTCTTATGGGTCCGGATGTATTATTCATTTCTAGGTATAGTTATCAAATAATAATTTCCATTATTTGTGTAGTGCGTGAGATCATGCTAGTGGCTGTCTTGAGCAGCCATAACAACCTACCATGCTCTAGCAGCTAAAGGAGCTACTTTCATCAGTAACAGCCTTTGCAGCTGATGATCCTGGTTTGATCCCCATTATAAGGTAATGTTTCGTTACATAGTAGTTGGTTACTAACCTTTTCACCAGCCTGCCCAGCACCACCTGGATCCCCTGATGGACCTGCTCGACCTTTTGGACCTTCAGGGCCATCTTCTCCTCGTGGGCCCAGTGGGCCAACTTCACCCTAAAGTTCAATATGGTGTAAATACAGGGCTACTGCATATGTTCATAACAATGCACTGTTTGCAATAACAGTACACCTCAAGACTTATTTTATAAAACAAACCATTACTTGAAAACAAATGTAAATGAAGATCAGAACTTGGAATCATTGTGTAAGTGCAGAGACATCTGAATTAGACAACTTCTCAATGGGTTATGTACATCTCACAAGATGTACACACAAACATGCTGCTTCAGCTCTTGATAGTTATTTCTGCTAGTAACAGAACTCAAGTTATAGGGGCTAGGCAGGGGCTGTGCATGAGAGTACATAAACCCAGGATAAGGCTATATGTTGGAGGATAGGTGTGGCCCACTGTGAAATATTGTTACACCATTTTCCCTGCATCAACCAGAATCTGGCCTTGGAGGACTACTCTAGTTACAGTACATCAGACATTCAGTGGAATTAGCATAAAAATACAGATGTCTGGATAAATAATTATTCTGTGGGTCATAACGAGTTGTCCTGTGGCACCTTAGAGAGTAATTAAAATATCTATAGTATGATGAGGTTTTGTGGGCAAAACCCATTTCTTAAGCTGATATTAACTCCACCGCTCCACTGATGTCAATAGAGTTATGTTGATTCCTACCATGTAAGGACTGACCCCAAATCTAACTAACTAACTAACTAACTGCCCAAAAAAATAAATACATAAATAAATACACCAGATTTAAAATGTATTTATAAACAAATTTGAGTGATTTTTCACAGGCTAACAGTTGTAATTTCTAGATACTATAACTTCCTATATAAATACTTACTCTGTCACCTTTAAGGCCCATGTCGCCTTTAAATCCTGGGAAACCATCTTCACCCTAAAGAACACACAAAATAAGGAAAAATGTGTCCATTAACAGAGATACATTTACAAATGAAATTAAAACATTAGGTAGCCTGAGAGGATGAGCATAATAATTGCACAGCAGCAGTAACTTCATTTAATTTATAATTTGGTATGTCCAATGGTTTCAATATGGCAGATAGTACATCCAAACAATATATATCTTATTCAACTACACTGAATCTTGGAACAAAGTTGTTAATAATGGGGAAATTCTCTTAGACTGCCATGAATTTCTGAATATTTTATGAACTCCTCCATAGAAGACATATACATTAGAAGTAACCTTCTTCATTAAATTCCATCCTTATACATTAATTTTTTTATTCTGTTTGGCTGTGTCTACACTGGGACACTTATTCTGGAAAAGCAGCTGCTTTTCCGGAATAAGCTGCGAACTGTCTACATTGGCCGCTTGCTTTTCCGGAAAAGCAAGCGGCCAATGTAGACAGTTCGCAGCTTATTCCGGAAAAGCAGCTGCTTTTCCGGAATAAGCTGCGAACTGTCTACATTGGCCGCTTGCTTTTCCGGAAAAGCACTTTTCCAGAAAAGCGTCCGTGCCAATGTAGACACGCTTTTCCGCAAAAAAGCCCTGATCCTCATTTTCGCGATCGGAGCTTTTTTGCGGAAAAGCGTGTCTACATTGGCACGGACGCTTTTCTGGAAAAGTGCTTTTCCGGAAAAGCATCCTGCCAATGTAGACGCGCTTTTCCGGAAATACTTATAATGGAAAAACTGTTCCGTTTTAAGCATTTCCGGAAAAGGGTGCCAGTGTAGACGTAGCCTTTATGTTTACACTGATAAGGTCTTTATCCTTTTTCATAATTGATTGATACAGTGATATCAATAGAATAAATGGAAATATTCCTGATTTGCACTGGTGTAACTGAGAGCGGTTTGTAGCCGTAAATCACTTTCTTTGTACAACTACCGTTCGTACATTAAGGCCATAAAAGATTTCTGTAAGTTCATTTTTAGGTGCTGTTCCTCAGCATTGGGGATAGAATCTCTCTCTCTCTCTCCTGAATGAATTCGTAGCAAAGGGGTTTCCTATAATGCCAATGTGTTTCAGGTGAGGCTGAGTTGGGGCTGTCAGTCTGGCATGAATGACAATGTGCTCTGGTTGTTGCTAATAATGCATTGTACTTCATCCCTAGTGATAAGTTTCCTATATTCATATAAGTTTTTTTTCTTTTCTCCTACCAACCACTGACGCTTGTCATGGGCCAGAAACCTAAAACCATGGTACCATTTTTAGTTCATCCAATAACAGAATAATTATTTCTAGCAGTATTATACATGAAGAAAGTTTTTCCATATTTTTGGGAAATGGTTCAAGAGAAACATGCCATGATAAGACAGCACTTTGATTTGTATACAAAACTGACAAATTTCATTTTTCAATAGACTGTATGCTTTCTGCACAAAGCATGAGCTGTAGTAGCACATCATAATACACGGAAAAGACATTTTAGGAAAAGGTTTAGGTAACTGACAGGTTGTCTCTGTTTTGGGTGATAGTGGATGACTATGTAATTCAAACATTAAAATTCCAAAGTAACAAATACCTATGTATTAAGATTTAAAGAGAGGAGTTGACCATGCAGAGCATGCAAAACATGAAAAAGACTTTAGTTATGAGCTACTCAATTATATCCCTGGCCAATAATGTTGTCCAAATAAATAAGGACATCTAGCATGCCCACAAGAATTGAACACTATGCCTATCACAGATCAAAAAGTTACCAAATGAATGGAAACTTTTCACCTTTCACGGTAAGGTCTCAACTAGAGGAATTTGATCTTTGTTCAGCTTGGAGGAAAGAGGGAATCCATGAACTAGAGAGAGTGAATCCATGAACTAATGTGCCAGGCCCCTACTCTGTATGTAACAAAATACAAAACAGAGTTCCATTCAGAGTGCATTGCTCAATACAGAGCCACAACTCCCCTGCCAGTTTTGGGACCATATGAAAACAATAATGATGTGCTAAATCAATCAATTGATCTACCTCTGTCCTCTTGTTATACTGCTTTATAAAAATAGTATTTCAATGCTCTAGATTAATAATGGTTTAATGTAACAGATAGATAAGCTCCACTCAGCACAATGTCCTGGAGCGTAAGAGATTTCTATGCATGCAGTACATCACTGTCAGTTTAGAGGTAAGTACTAATATTTTGTGTCATACAGCAGCTACTGTTAAACAACAGTTAGTATCATAGAGGATGCTAGGCAGTCTCTAATGTCATGAGGTCTTTAATGTTCAAAGCTACCATTTTTAAAGTGCTATTCAAAGAATACAATGAACTATTGCGTACTGTTTTTCTCAACTTATATTTATTTATGGAGATATAACTATATCATTATTTATCAATAGAAAAGTGTTTTTATTCTTATTGTATGTTTGCTTTATTTTGAATAACAGCTCGTGTTTATATAAGGCTTGGTCATGTAGTGAGGAAAGTTGCTATGATGAACAAAATGTGCTGTCACTGAAGAACAGTGAGAAGGATCATCTTCTACCTACTTTCAGAGCAGCCCTCTCAGGGGTTTGCTCCTGCAGGGAGATCTCTAGCACTGATATCAAAGGCAGTTTTGCAAACGCAAACTCTCAGTCTTGAAATAAAAATGTACACACTGTGGCTATAGAGCAGTAGGGCAGGATATGTGAGGTAGTTGTTTGAACTGCAGTTTTTGGACAGACTGACTCTAAAACTTGTGTGCCCACATCAGAAAACTTATCCCAGTGCAGGGATTCTCCAGTGGGCTAAACTAGCACCACTTTCTGCTGTAAGAACACTGAGGAAAGTAGGTAGGGCTAGGATACACCTGTTACAATGCCTGGCTGAGGGTTTGGCTCCAGGGAGCTATTAGATGGCAATGGAGGTTTCAGCTGCCAGGGTGTGCTCTAACTTCATGCCAGGGGACTGGCCCTATGCATAGCAGCAGCTGATGTGGGAGAATGCAAAGATGAGTTTTCATCACATTTGCACATACATTCACTACTGGTGCAGTGCACATTTTTGCCATAGCAAAGTATCTGGCCTACTGTCTGCATTTCCAGACACTGGAAAGCCTGGAAGCCAATGGAAGGTTTGTGTCTATAAGAAATACAGAATCTAGTCTATAGTATGAATGAAAGTAGTAAAAAGAATCCACAATTGTCACAGGTGTATATATATCACTCAGGTGCATTGGATGTGACAAGCTTCTAGGGATGCACTATATTGTCAGTGGGGGAAAAAGGGAAGGCTAATTCTCTACAGTCCTGTACTTGTGTGTGATCAGTTACACTTGTGCAGAGTGGGTTCAAAATGCTATTGTTCTGATCAACCCTATTGACATCTATTTTGCACAGATGTCAATAGCTATGCAAGTTGCAGGGCAATGCAGAATCAGGCCTGGTATGTTCCATGTGGAAGGTGAAATTAAACCACTGTTATCTGAGAACAACACTGTGTGAGGGAAGGAAATAAAAGACATAGCATTTAAACAAAGGAGGCCCCTCCCCCACTTTTTCTTTACCAGAACACAGAAGAACACTTTTTAAACAAAAGGAAGTCCAATTTTATGTTTACCTTTTCACCTTTGGAGCCCTTGAGGCCACGGACACCATCAGCTCCCTGTAGAAAACAAAGCGAAAATTCCTCACTGTACATAACCAAACCTTTCAAATATACATTTTTTTTTAAATATATACTATACCTTTACACCACGAGGACCAGGATAGCCAATTGGACCCTGAGGACCTGGAGGCCCCTAAAATACAATGGATTAGAAAAACTCTGTATGTTAGTCAGTTAACAAATAGCTTTCTGAGTGCAATCCACTTTCGTTAACTATACCACAAGTAGTCTAAAGGAAGACATTGAAATAATATTGGACAAACAGGGTTTTCTGGTTGACTTCCCTAAGAAAAGTTATGGACATATGAAAGTGTTTTCAAATTTTCTGTGGATCTATTTATAGTTTTGCTGTGGAATTATATTTTATCATTTTATTTTAGAATTTCAAATGAAAGGGAGGTATTAAAACATCAACACACAATATAAATTATCTGAAATTATGTTCATATTGAAAATATAAGGAAATCAAATAAATGGATATATGGTACATGATGTCTACACAGTGCAGAAGCTATGTATTAACTATAAAGACATGAATATGTAACTCTATCAACCCTTCCCCATCGTTAAAAAAAATCACAAGTTTACATTCTGTGCCACACACTGCTCTCATATAAGCATCTGCTATTCTCATATATAAAGATACTTCAAAATTTGACTCTAATTTTCAGTGTTTGTATTTTCCTTAAAGAAATCAATCAATCAACCAATCAATGTCTCTTTTAAAAATTCTCCAAAGTTAACAAATACATATATAAAATTACAAATATAAAATCAAGAGAAGATAAACCTTTGTCACTTTAGTTGTACATCCTGTTTAATACTCCCTGGCCTCATACTAAAGAAAAAGAGATGCCAAACCTATAATTAATTTCTGATTAAGGGCCAGATCCTGATACCGATTTATACTATTAAGATTGTACATTACTTTACCCTGTTGTCTTCAGTAGGACTACTTTGGAAGTACCATTATTCAGCATGAGGAAGAATCTCAGAATCTGACCCTAATATGACAGAGCTTTATAAACCCTTTAAATCAGTGGTCTCCAAACTTTTTAAGTGCAAGATCACTTTTCCAATTTAAGTCAATCCAGGATGTACCTCAAACCCTAATACCGTAGTCCTACCTCCTTCCCTACCGTTCTCCAAGGTCCTACCCTGTGGAGATGGGGAGAAGGAAACACCCTGACATGAGGGCCCCCTTTTTTGCCTCCCCCATCCTGAACAGCAAACCAAAGCCCTTGGGGGCCAGCTCCAAGGCAATGGCCGGGAGCAGCACAGCAGAAAGGGGAAGGGTGGCTGAAGTGCTTGAGCTCCAAGCCAAAACAGTCAGGATCACCTGTCACAGGCTCCAAGATCTACCTGTAGATCCCAATCTACTGGTTGGTGACCATTGCTTTAAATGTTTCGTTACCATTGACATTGACTTGCTGAAAGTACCTGAAAAACTCATAACGTGTATGTTTTGATGTGTACCTCTCCTAAAAGAACTTCTCAATAGTCTGTGCAGATAGCATATACAGGCAGTCCCCGGGTTACATGGATCCGACTTACATCGGATCCCTACTTACAAACGGGGTAAGGTAACCCCGCACTAGCTGCTTCCCCCCAGCAGACCAGGGAGACGCGAAGCTAGCGCCCTTCCCCAGCAGACTAGGGAGACGCGGAGCGGATTTTCTTAGCAGACACCTCAGCTTGAGAATAAAGCCTGAGGGAAGTGAGGTGTGGGAGAATAAAACTGAGCTCTGGAGAAATGTTTGGCTAGAGTTTCCCCTACAATATGTACCAGTTCCGACTTACATACAAATTCAACTTAAGAACGAACCTACAGTCCCTATCTTGTACGTAACCCGGGGACTGCCTGTACTATAAAACTGCAAACTCCAAGAAACTGCAACTTATCTGTCTGTAGCATGTTACAGTTTAGTATAGCCAGCCTAGACTTGAATAAACATAAATACACAATGTGCCCTGTTAAAGTAAAACTGCTTGTTGAGTTCACAGACTGGCAGTCAATAAATATGATTGTCAGCACAGACATGCTGTGAATGTGTCATGCATTTTCTATCATTTATGTTCCCAATAGTTTTTAGAGCAACAGATTATTACATAGTTGACAAATTTACCAAATAAACAAATAAAATTGAACAGATACATGTTTATAGAAAAGTTTTGAAACTTACCAAAGCACCTTTCTCTCCAGACTGACCCTCTTTGCCAGGGTGACCCTGATTACAGAAAGATAAATACATGTTGGAAAATATCCACTTTGTGGGGAAAAAATCCCAATTCATTATACAAATAAATTGGTTTTAAATTTTTGAATATAATCGTGACCTCAAATCCAGCCCTGTTTCTGGACCACGAAATGAAAAGTACTTCTCTATATTTGAAAAGAGATTTACTGATTTAGTATAGATTTAGTTTGCATAACAAAGAGAAATCTGGACAGCAGTTGTATTGATGTGAATGAATTAACCAACAGCTTGATCACATCCAGTTAAAATTTCAAAAGCAAGAGTCTTTTAATCAAATACACACTTAGATTTGAGTTTTATATATTTTGAAACAATCCTAAATCCCTAAAGCATTTAAAAAGTTTTAAAAGTTTACGGGAGTTTTCTGAGAAGCCAATGAAGAGATTGATCTAGTCTCATTCATGGCATTAATTAAATGTTTTTCTTTTAAATAATGACCTACTGGTTAAATTATATATCATTATAGTTTTATATACAACTCCCACTGGATATACAGCCCAAGAATTAAGCTTTTGAGAGATGCCAGTCACTCAAATGATTAATTCTTCACTGTATTCCCAGTGAGAGATAGGATTATAGTTTATCTATCACCCAAATTTACACCAAAGTGATATTAAAAATACTAAAAATTAGTAAAATTAGTAAAAATACTAATGGCAGATTATCGTATGAGGAAATGAACAAAATCCAGTCTTATTTAAAGATAAAACTTTAGTTTTGTTGAGCATGTAGCCATTTCTTAAATATTCATTTTGGTGGCATTAACTTCTAAAAGTATTTTCAGTTATATCAAATGATATCCTTTTTTCATATGCCTGCCAATCCTTAAATGATAAACCTAATGTTTATGTTTAGCTTGCTAGCTTATAATAGTAATTGTAATATGCTATTAATTAATGTTATGTATAACACTTATCTATCTAGGCACTCTGGGATAATGTTGAGAAGGATGACTTAGATACCTCTGAACATATAATTATCTTGTTCAAATTAAACAGCATTAATATCTTTTTTGTACTAAAACAAATACTTCTTCAACTTAACTTCAAGCAGATGATCTTACTGTACACAAAGTTATAACACCTCACTCTACATTAAAAGTCTCTTTTTCTACAATGCCACCTTTGTCAGAGATGAGGCTGACCAAGTGCTTCCGTGTATTAACATCCCTGTCCTACATTTCAACCAAAGACATATGCAAGCTAAGGAAATGACTCTAGGGAGATGATGGGGAGCAGTCAGTGGTTCCTACACATGCAACACACATGCAAATGTACTTTATTCCCAATTTATACCCCACAGTCACATAAATGAGACAGTGGAACTGACCCACTGTATGTCACTCTGGCTATTGGCTTATTATACCATGTCATTGTTGCAAGTATAATTGATCATCCAGACACACATTTCTAAAGGTCTTCAGCAAATGTTAGCAGCCATCTAACTTCAACCACAAGTTTAAATAATGCAGAGATATACACAGGCTTTACAGTTCTGTTCCCAACTAAGAGTGTTGCGTCTTTTTAATTCTTGTAAGGCAGTATATTGCATGAAGCAACCCAGAGTTCCATACTCATTTTTAACAGTGTTGACAGTCAAAGGACAAAATATTATATTACTTACAGGAGGCCCATCAGAACCAGCAAGTCCAGGAAGGCCAGGCTTGCCCTGTGGTCCCTAAAAACAACAAAAATTATACATTTTAGTAATATTAAACAAATAGGTTGCTCAAGCTAAAAAAGGTTGCAACAAACAAATTAAGAACAAAAAGACATATGTTAAAACATACAAAGTGATGGGGAAAATAAAACAAGAGCATGTTCCAAAAACTAGATCCAGAAACTTAGATTCTGATTTCAGTTATACCAGTGTAAAGCCACATCAATTCTATGGACCTCAAAAAAGTTACTCTCCGTGATAATTAGTGCAAATGAGAAAGGAACAGAGGAACTGCTATATGGTCCATCTACTCCAGTATTTTGCTCCTGAAGAAGAAAAGTGCAAGAAACCTTTTAGTAGTCAGACACAGGATAATCTAACATCAATACTTAGGCTATATCTAGATTGCAAGCCTCTTTCGAAAGATAGTTTCGAAAAAGCCTCTTTCGAAAAAGAGCGTCTAGACTGCAAGCGGAACTTTCGAAAAAGCAAGCCGCTTTTTTGAAAGAAAGCAGTGAGTGAGTCTGGATGCTCTCTTTCTAAAAAGCCCTGTTGGCATTCAAGAACGCCTTTTTTCCAAAGAGCACTTTCGAAAAAAGGCGTTCTTCCTCGTGAAATGAGGTTTACCGCCGTTGAAAGAAAAGCCGCGTTCTTTCAATTTAATTTCAAAAGAACACGGCTGTAGTCTAGACGCAGGTGAAGTTTTTTCGAAAAAAGGCTACTTTTTTTGAAAAAAACCCTGAGTCTGGACACAGCCTTAGAGACTTAAGATGTGAAGCAAGAGGTTTTATCTCCCTTTCAAAATTTGTGTTAGCAATACTATTGACTCCATGTTTTCTTGTTATCCAGATAAACAGCCAATCCTTTGAATCTTTTCAAGTTGTTGAGCTCAGCAGCATACTATAGGAATTAATTCTGCAAACAAATCATGCACTGTGTAGAAAAAGTAATTTCTTCTGCATACTCATTTGGCCTTAAATATTTCAGCTAACTATAGATGGATACTGAAATACTTGCTCCCTCTAAGTACCGGCAATATCTCAAAAATATCCATTTGTTATGTTAAGCTAACTGGCCTTTTATCTCAAAAAGTGTGCGATTCCTATACCCATGTTAATCATCAAAACAATTCTTATCAGAGAGCAAAAAGCACCTTCTATAGCATGAATGAGAAAAACCAAACAAAACCACAGCCTCTTGGGATGCAAATTAAATAGAAATGACATATGAGAGAGAAGGAATAACATGTTGCTTCCCAGTTAAACAGAAGTGATGAAATGAGGAAAAATAAAATTGAGCTTTTACATAATCTTATGAAAAATTTCAGCATCAAAGTATGTTCAGCATCAGTTTTCAAATTCACCATAATTTTTACCACCTTTTCTCTTTAAAAATGTCTTCAAATGTAATGAATACGCAAATCAGAAAGATTAAAATATTTTTATTTGAAATATAAGAGTGAGGGAATGATTGAATAGAGGAAAGTCAAGGCCATTGAACACACATCACCGAACAGACAAGAAATTAAAGGCACAAGGAGGAGAAGTGAAGCAAGGGTTACATTTAGAAACAGATCAGAGCAGTTAGGATGGCGAGAATGTACCTGTTGTGTGTATCAATCATCCCTAAAATGTATACACAGCAATGTGAAAGGAGCAAGTGGAGAAATGTAATATAGTGTTCACAATACAAAATAATGCACAAAGGACAAAAAAATGACAAAGAGAGAAATCCTGGTTATGCTGAAGTCAATGGTACTCTTCCACTTGAGTGGAAGAGATAGCAGATCACCCAGAGTCAAGAAGAGGTCAGAGGTGGTAATAGAAAAGCCCGGACAATTTATATAATGTAGGTGAGTCACAGAACCCAGGGATGAGAGCTGTCTGCTTATTGGCTTGAAATGTTTCAAACACAAAGCAGAGCTACATTTGGAGGAGAAACTGCATGCATGTTAGGGCAGATTGTGACTTTGTGGAAAAGAAAATGTTTTTCAAATGGTTAAGAGACATACAAGGTGTTTTTGTCCATAAACCAAAAAACATGTTATATAACTAGAAATGTTATGAGAACAAAAAACCCTCCAAAACCCAGGTAGGGTGCTAGTCTCCAACCACCATGTCTAAGTTTACACAACATAAGGAAAGGAAATTGGCAACATTTGTTTTCAAAGATTTCAAGAATATGGCGCCCAAACAAAATGAAATGATACATTAATCATAAATGCATTATGAAAACCTATAAGAGTCACTGAATCAACCTGTAATGAACATCACCAGACCAAATTAAAATTAGTAACATCCAAGTCATCATAAAATCATAGAATCATAGAATACTAGGACTGGAAGGGACCTTGAGAGGTCATCGAGTCCAGTCCCCTACCCTCATGGCAGGACCAAATACTGTCTAGACCATCCCTGATAGATATTTATCTAACCTACTCATCATCACCTGGAATCATTTACATTAGCTGGATGATCACAAATCCATCCTCTTTTTTTAGATATTTTTCCTATTTAGTACCATTGTGGCTTCACGGTATTCACTATTTGTAACATCTACAAAATCATCAGTGTCCTTGTGGTCTTTATCCTGTTCCATGCTTAGTTGTGGGCATGTCCACTCTCAATATATATTGGCTAACCAAAAAGAAAGCAAAAGATCAAACAGACATTCCTGTATTCCTGCCAGGCACTGACCTAAGGTTACTAGGTTTAGAATTAGTCATCTGGGTATATTCTGGTATTCTGGCAGCAATATAATTGATGCTGTTTTTTACATCCCTCGAACACTTATACCTCTGAGAAACTTTTCTCACATAAGTAGTCCTATTGATTTCACTTACACTTAAGGTGCTGCTAGACTATTCATTGAGTTTTTTTCTTCCAGTTTTTCCATGTGAGTAGAGTTACTCGTGAGCTCTTTTTCAGGACTGGACCTTCTCAATTAGTAATCTTGTTGGATTGGCTGTGCTGACTATATTGCATCAAATCAATGAAAAACTTTTAAAGAAAATCTCTATCTATTACTGTGAGGCCTGATTGTAAAAGAGAGGACATCTACATTTGTGTTACGAAACTTTTATGAGGGAAATCTATATTAGTAGATTTATATGGGGGAAATCTTTGATGTGAATGGGTCTGGGAATAAATCAGTACTGGTATGAATGGATTTGGACTGGGAAAGCATTCTAACAACATTTCAAATGTTATTGCTTGGTCCTCCATCACAGATGTCAATGTGTAACATATTGTATTCATTTAAATATTCAGTTGCAAGCAGGGAAAATTTAGATTCCAGTACGTTTTAGTAGAGGAAACTTTAGATGTTGGTGAGCTGCACATGGAAAACTGAACAGGTAATTATGGAAAGGGTAATCATTCTATGTGGATAGGTTTGACTGGATAAACTTCCTTTAATATTTTGTGTCAGTACCTCGTTGTACAAAATTGATTTGTGGAAGGCAGTTTGTACACAGAAGTTTCTAGGTGAATAGACTCCTGCAGACATTGCATATTAAAATTAATTTCCTGAATGGCTAGAATTCTTCCTTCTCTCCACGTGCCATTCATCTCTTCTAGCACAGCTAAGTTCAGAGCCCTTGGTTTGTAATCCCTCCCAGAAGGTGTTTAATTTACTGAAGTCAGTCATCCAGTACAGGTCCCCACAAAAGGGGCACTCATAGTTCTAATTCTTGGGCTTGGTATTACATTCTGTATGCTACCACATGAGGAAGATCCCAAAAGGGTGTGGGAATGAGGCCTACTGCTCAACAGTTCACTGAATGGGCCTAGGACACATGCTGGATTATGTTGCAGCTTTTGAATAGCTTTAGCGGTAAACAAAGTTATCTTGCATTCTGGGGAGCTCGGCAGGATTTCTGTCCCCTTGCAGTGGTCTGACTCCACTTATCCTCATTCAGGGTTGTCTTTAAGGTATGATTTTTTAAAAAAATTCTTTGACTACATGTGAAAAGTAACACATTTGATATTAACTCAATTCTCGGTCTCCATGATATTTTGGCACATAGAAATGTATATGATGCTGGGTAAGTGCAAAGTGATTTCTATCCTGTATGGAGAGCAGAAACAACAATGAATACCTAAGGTTGGATTTTTGTAATAGGAAATGTGGCACCTGTCACTGCTACAGTACATTTATTTAAAAGATGTTATTAACTTTGGGATGTCTACCTTCCCTTTTAAGCCATGAATGAACATAACAATTCTGCTTAGCAGTTAGTTAAAGCTAACAAGCTGGTTTACCTACTCATTTCAAAAACAGAAAAGACTACCAAGCCAAGAAAACTCAAAAATAAGGTAAGTATATGGATAGATAGGAAGCAAGCAAACTACTTCACACCTTTTTATCCTATTTATCTGTATATTTGCTATTATAATGGACGCAAAACTCTGATCGACTATAGTGAGAGTTTTGCTCAATTGTAGATTACAGAATTGTTTCCATAAGAAATATATACAACTGAAGGGGGGGGGGAGGGGGGGAATGGGGTAGGTAGGAATTCTGCTAGATAGGAATTCTGTGCATTGTTTCCTAAAATTCCCCTCAATCCTTACCACCAAGAGGTACTGGAACACTAGGAAGATATTAAACCACGAATGAGAGGGAAACCAGAGTGGAATCAATCAGGGATTTAACAGAGGAAAGAAGAAATTACTAGGAGTGTGAAATTTGAAACAGACATAATTAGCACTTGCAAAAGAATGTTACTGCTCCAGGAAACAGAAGGGTACACAAACAGGGTCTTATTCTGATCTAAATTATACCACAATTACTCCAGTGGAACTCCAGAATAATGCCAATATACCATCCATATAAATAAGAACAGAATCAGGCTCACAGTTTAAAGAAAAAGATAGATATGTTAATAATGAAGATGAGAGATCTAGAAAATACATGTAAATGTAAAGTCTTTTTTTGTTTGGTACACCTGTAATGTGAGTCTGTTTGTATTTAATCTTGTACAGTACTGTGGGCCAAATTCTGATTCTAATAACATGAGCATGAATCAAGAGTAAATTCAGGAAGTAACACTAGTGAAAAAAATGGTGTAAGTGAGAAAAGAGTTAGGCTCACATTGTTCATTGATTTAGTTGGTGGTTTTAGGGAGTTCTGTTTGAGATTATAGGTGTCTAATACTCTAAACATAAAGCAAAGCCCTTAACCACTTAACCAGGAGTTGCTACACTGATTATGAAATACCAGAATAACATTATAACTTACTTTTTCACCAGGAGCTCCAATAGGACCTTGTGGACCAGGAAGCCCCTATTAAAAAGAACCCAGGGTGTGAGAAATCAGGGGTAACAAGATGCATACATTCTCCCTATTAAAGAGCCCTTATTAATCTGTTTAAACATAGTGGCAAATATAAGTGTGGTTGTTGGGATTTTTTAAATCAGATAGATAAGGAGCTTTGTGTGAGCCTTTTGCACCGGCTACTATTCTGACATCAAGTCTGTAACAGGATCCTATTCAGTGCCCTCCTACAGGTGTGGCCAGTCCTGCTAGCATTCCAGGAACACTGAATGAGTCATTTTTCTTGCGAATGAAAAGCCCTCTGCAAGCTTGCTTTAAAATTCTGCTCCCACTGCACTATGCACATTTTCAGCATTATTTATATAAAAACTTCATGTTTTATCAGTCCTGCCTGTGAAAAGCTAATCTGTATTCATTAAACATTTGTTTAAAGGAATGTAGTATAACCTGTGGGTTATTAAACACTTACTTGTGGACCTGGGATTCCTTGTTGACCGGGAGGGCCTGGTTCTCCTTGAGGACCCTATCATGCAAAAAATACAGAGGCATTAGATTTGGACTTCTGTGTTACAAATCTTCATTCTCAGGCCTAAAGTAATCACATCTCTGGTTTTCCCATCTTTTAAATCTTTTAAATCTCTCTCTAGTCTGATTTTCAAGTGAATTTACATCACCAATATTTTATTTATGTAGGGCTAATTCCACTCCCACTTTACACCCTGAGAGCTGTTTTCTGAGGATTGCAGAAGGTTAAATGAGGGAAGAATTTAGGTTGAAGCAGAGGGGACTCCAGGCTGTCCTCTTCAATAAAACATTGAGAGAAATCTGAATTTTAAATTAAACAGGGATGGGGGATGGAAGGAAAAGGATTTTGACAATCCCAAACCTCTGTTTCTTTCCATAATTATCTACGTACCAAGTTTCCTTTTGGACCTGGGGGACCATCAACACCTGCAATACCCTAAAAAAGAACAAAAATAGAGGCAACACTGGGCAGAATTATTTTTTACTGGAAATAGCACATTTAAAATACCTCACTCTTTATGCCATACGTACAGGTTGTCCTGGGGGACCAGGTGTGCCCCGGGGGCCTAGTAGTCCTCTTGGACCCTGAAGAGAAGAAATTATTCATATTAAAAATGTGGGTGCGATTCCTCCTTATAAGCTGGTAGGCAGCGGGACTGCAGGGGAGGGAGGCAGTGCAGAACAACAAAACAATTCATTGCAACATGGGATGCTCCTGACCTCTGTCCTGAATCTGGAACACAATATGGGCTGAAGTAGCCTTTTGTCAAGCAGCTTTGCCTCTCATATCAGAGAAAGGTCAGGGGGATAGATTTTCCCACCGCCAGTGCCCTGAACATTGGTGCAGAACCTTACATAGTCACTTGGTCTGGGTGGCGACTATTTATGTATTTAATAAAAACAAGGTAGTTTTAATGGTTTCTGTCATATTCTGCATTGCTGATGAAAGTAGAAAGTCCTACTTTTCTCAGTAGTAAAATCTCTGCTAGATAGCTAAATATTATTCATTTGGAGTCTTTTTCTCTATATTAAACAAATGGAAACTTCCACAAACAGAAAGGGAGGCCTGCTCCCACACATAATTCCACTGAAGTGAATGGGACCATTCTTCTTCTGAGGAGGAGCAAAATTTGTTCCCAAGGGTTATTTTTGACTTTCCACAGTGTAAGATTTTGTTTTTCAATATTTATGGCATCAGACACTGTGGCTGAAGAAGGCAGAGCTCATTCTTCTCCCTGTTTCATGATGTGTAAAGAGAATGCAAATTACAGTACTATCTTTCTGACTCAGTAGCATTTTGCACCCGCTTTGTATCTGGAAGGGTATAGATCAGATATGTAGGATACAATCATCCTTTCTGAGCCAGGCCATGGATCCTTTGCCTACACTGCAAATCTCTGTTCTGCAGTGACAGCTCCAGTTGAATTCCTACTGTATCAGTAGAATTCTTGCACATGGAACAATTGCAAAATATGCAATAAAGAAAAGCAGTTTGTGTTGCAATATTTTGCAGTCAAATGTTCAGAAAAAACACACTGCTGTGAAATATCATTAGAGCATTCAATAGGCTGATTCTACTCTCACTTATGTTGGTGTAAATCAGGAGTAAATCTACTGAATTCAATGAAGTTAGACCAGAGTAAATGATACATGGTTCAGCTCCACTGATTCTGGAAGTTGTGTATCCTGGACTGCATTAATACAGAAATAATTCCAGTCACGTTAATGGCGTTATACCCCAGAAGAATCTAGCTAATTTTGTACCTTCCATACAGAACTGCCATTTCGTCCCCTCTGGGAAAAACTTAGTAGAAATGAATGATATCTTAGAGTGATTTTGTTCTGCAAAATAACCAGTGTGCATACCAGAAATAGAATAATAAAAAGGCTTTGCTTACAGCTTCACCTGGGAGACCTCTGGGTCCAACCTCTCCATCTTCTCCCTGTCATTATGAAAAGGAAGAGAAGGTTTAGTGTTAAAAGTATATATCACCAAACCATTCCTACTGTGTGAGGACTTGATTTGAACTGTATTGTATATATTAGTGAGCTGAAGTTTCTAGTAACGTACCCTTGCTCCATCTTCACCGGGTGCACCAGGAGGTCCTTGTGGGCCACGATCTCCCTGGAAAACCAAAAAAGCTATAATAAAACAACACAGGCTACAACTCTGGCTGGAAACAACAAGAGATGAGAGAGTGAAATACCAACAAATACTTTAGCTGCATAATGGTGTCAGAACATCCTCACTGTAACCTCAAACAGGTATAAATCTACATGTTACTTGGCAGAAGATTCCATTTAGAGGTGGATCCAAAATCTTTTATCAGATCAACATAAGGAAAGATTAATGTTTCAGAAATATTTAACAATTATATCAGGTAAGGTTGCCACAAGAACATAAGAACACCCATACTGGGGGCTTTTAAGTGCATATATACACAGTGCCTCAACAGATTTTGGACCAATCTAATTAAGCATTTTTTTCTCCCTCATTTTTAAAGAAGGCTAATGTTCTGCATAGCTTAAATTAGGGATATAATACTGTAGTCGATTAACCGATAAGCAAATTGTGTAGCTTATTTTGAGGTAAGGGTACAATGTAGATGCATATCTAGAGTTTTAGTTTTGGACTGTTTATTATTCTGTCACTTTTATATACATTTGTGATACATCTTTGGATAGGCACATTCTTAACAAATTTCAATATTTAAATTGCATACAAATATGTAGGTTCATACAGTTAATGACAGAAGGGACTAGTAGATGATATCTTCTGACTTCTTTATATATCATAGGCCATAGAATTTCATCCTATTACTCCTATGCTGACTCAATAGTTTGTGGTTGCCTAAAGCATATGCCTTTCAGACACATCCGGTCTAGAAATTATAGCATGTGTTCCCAGTTCAAACATGACTAGACATGAAAAGATTCCTAAAAAGAATATGATAATGTTTGGTACGTTTTTTAAACAACTTTATACTTACACAGACAAAATATAACTACAGGGGTATGTCTAGACTACATCCCTCTGTCATCAGAGGGATGTAAATTAGACATACCAAAATTGCTAATGAAGCGGGGATTTAAATATCCCACGCTTCATTAGAATAAAAATGGCCACCGCTTTTTGCCGCTGCAGCACTTTGCTGGCAAAAAATGGCACTCTAGACGGGGATCAGTCGACAAAGAAAGCCTTTTCCGACCGATCCCTTATGCCTCGTGCAATGAGGTTTACAGGATTGGTCGGAAAAGGCTTTCCTTATCGACCGATCCCCGTCTAGACTTCTGTTTTTTGCCGGCAAAGTGCCGCATCGGCAAAAAGCGGTGGCCATTTTTATTCTAATGAAGCACGGGATATTTAAATCCACGCTTCATTAGCAATTTTGGTATGTCTAATTTATATCCCTCTGGTAACAGAGGGATGTAGTCTAGACATACCCCAGGAGAAAAGGATTTATTTCATTTTTCCTCTGTGCTTCTTTATCACAGGGAATACCAAGGTGAATGTTTATGCAAACACTTCCTTGCATTATGTCCTCTCAGTACACATGACTCCAAAGGTCTGCAGCTATTTGCTTGGCTTTAAATGAGACTGCTTTTCGACTTGTAATACTTTCTAAATATCTACAGGGCTCCCATTTTCATATAAATATATAGTGATTCCTAAGTAATGGGATGGAGAATTTGAAAAAGCTTTTGTTATTTCCCTTAACTAACTTTTGCAATTCTTTTTAATTTGTTGAGAAAATATGAACTCAGTATCCATATTTCTGACTAAGACCAAAAAATGCTTTCACTGTACAATTAGGGCTCATATAATTTGCCAAATCATCCATGACATTAGAAAGCAGACCTAGATTTCTTTGCGATCAGAGAATTTTGGAAGAGTTGCCCAGTCTTCAGAGGACATATGATAGATGCACAGTGACTTATTCACTGATATAGTCTTCCAGTGTAGTCCATCAGCTCAACTTAAAAAAACTGTGTGTAATTGAATTCACAAAGAATGATGCACTGCCTATCATTTGCCTCGGATTTCCTTAGTAAGTAACTTACTTGCAGTGCTTAATTTGTAATAAAAGAAGTGCTGGAGCTCAGCACAAATTAAACAACATCTGGGACACAGGAAAGTGGCAGCTGCTGGCTAGGCACCCAGTACTGAAGGCAGCATCACTGCCATAAGCTGCACAGAAGGGTGGCAATTCACCATATCATGCCACCCTTGCTCTATGTAGCTACTGGTGGCAGTATTGCCTTCAGTCCTGGGCTGCCAGAGAGTGGCAGCTGCAGGCCAGGAGCACGGAGGTGCCAGAGCTATGAACTGACAAATATAGAGGTGCCAGGGCTCAGCCTCAGCAAGCCCTGGCACAAATTAAGCACCGCTTATTGGATCTTAAGTTCTCATGATAGAATCAGCTACAACTGAGGTAGGACACTGCCCATTTTTTGCATTAGGGATGAAAATAGATCCAAAAGTGAATGCAAGTTGGAATCTATGCTACAAAATCAGTAGCAGTGTTACAAGACATGACAAAACTGAAAATCTGAAGTCTTTTTATCAGTCTTCAAATGTCATTCTCACAACTTCAGCAACTGGAGAAGAATAGGCAACAGCTATTTCTTTTTTAATAATGTTAGTACAGGTTGTTCCTGTCCATTATCAGGACTCTCTGGTCCCACAACAGATCCCAGGAACAGGGAGGTCTGGTGGTGGGGCAGGAGCGTGGTAGGAAAGACAAGCATCTCAGCCAGGGGAGCAGTTTCTGGGGTTGGGGGCACAGCATGGCGGGGAGATCTAGCCCCAGCAGGTTGGTCATCACAGAGAGCTGTGATTCCTGCGGCGGCCATGAAGCTCAGGTGGCCGTGACGCCAGTGATCTGCGACCCCAACAGCGGCCATGGAGTTCCAGCCCCAGCCCATGCTGGGGCTGTGGAGCTCTGGCTGCAGAACCAAGTGGCTGCAGAACTCTGGCTCTGGCCCTGAAGCCCAGAGGCTATGGAGCTCTGGCAGCAGTGAGGCCAGTGGCAGTTAGAAAGCCCGGGGGCTGGGGTAGCAGGAGGCCAGACTAGAGCCCTAATCTGGTGACAGCAGGGCAGTATGGGCCATGAGGAGAGGGACCTCCTCTGGTCTGGCAAATCCTCTCATTCAGGACTAGTCAGGTCCCAAGGTTGCCAGATAAGGAAGTCCAACTTTGTAGCTACAAAGAAAAAGCCTTTCCTGGGTGCTGAGCTGGTGAAGGAGTGATGCTGGAAAGACTAGAGGAACTTTTTGCCAGGGATAAAAACAAAGATGATATTGTGAAGCAAATTCCCTTGTCTGATTTCACAACAGTGTGAAGATTGGATGTAATTTACAAGGATTATTTATCAGCACTGCTTCCAGATTTTAAAAATGCCATCATGTCTCTTACAATGAACAAATTGAGCAATTGAAGTGGTAGGGCCGAGTTAACACTATTTGTTAGATTGTTTTATGGTGAAAATTTTGAGCTTATTATCATTAGAAACGTAAGTCATGGCAGGGATCACTATTGAAGAGTTAAAGGCTTTTTGAAAAAAAAAGTTTAAAATTATAAGAAGTAAATTTGCATGTTATAGATAGAGGTCTCTCTGTGATAGGAAAAGAGAAGTGCTTTGCTTCACATTTGGCAGTTATACTTCATTGCATCATTATCTAGCGTAGTATCCTGTCTTTTGATGGTGGCATCATCAATGGTGGTAATCATCAATGATACATTCCCTGTCAAAAAAAAAAAAAAAAAAAAAAAAGCTAAAGACACCATCCCTGCCCATTCTGGCTAATAGCCTCCAGGAATTTATCTAGCTATTTTTTTGAACCATGTTATAGTCTTGCCCTCACAACATCATTTGGCAAAAAGTTCCACAGGTTAACTGTGCATCATGTGAAGAAATACTTACTTTTTTTGTTTTAAACCTTTTGCCTATTAATTTAATTTGGTGACCCCTTGTTACAAGGTATAAATAACATTTCCTTATCTACTTTATCTACACCAGTCATGATTTTATAGATTTCAATGATATCCCTCCTTAGTAATTTCTTTTCCAAGGAGAGAAGCCACATTTTTTTTAATCTCTCCTCATTTGGATGCTGTTCCTACTCATTTTTGTTGCTCTTTTCTGAATCGTTTCTAATTCTAATATATCTTTTTTTGAGATGGGGAGATAGGGGATGAACAAGAGGTATTCTATTTCCACCTTGTGACCTCACCTTTTTAAAACTCTTATAAAGACATATCAGTCAAATAGCATGACCTGCTGCAGCACAATGATGTTCCTTGATTTAGTACAGGGTATGTATTAGAGAGGTTTCATGGTCTTCAAAAAATATAATTTCCTTCAATCCACAAGGCCAGAGATGCTTTGAGTTCCTGGAATTTCCTGATGATGTCCCCTCTATGTCTCAGGTAAATTTTCTGTATGATAGTCAGGCCCACTGATGGAGGAGGTGGGGCTAAGAGGGCAGCTGCCTCTGGACCCCACAATACAAAATGGCTTGGAGCTACCGGCCAGGAGTAGCCAGAACTCCAGACTCTTTAAATTGCTGCTGGAGTGCCACAAGCTGGACTCTGGGCATCACTGAGGGATGCCTGGGGGGGGGGGGGGTAAGTTACTCTCCAGGCAGCGCTGACGGCCTCCATCCCTTCTTCCCGAGATCCCAACCCGTTAGGGGTGCTGAGCATGCCCCCAATTCTGCCTTGCCCAGGGACCCAACCAGCTGTTGGCCCCTCTGATGATATTATTGGTAACTTGAATTCCCTCAACTTGTAGATCCAATGCCATGCAAGCAGACAGGGATCTGTGTGAAAAGGTGTGCGCCTTTCAGGGGATTCTTAAAATCTTTCAGACAGATTTAACAAGAAAGATGCTTTCCCACATTGTGTCTGGTTACTACAGCTGAAACTTCAATGAAAATGATGCAAGAATTCCTAAAAAAATCTGATCATAACATTTAAAATGAGATTTGAGAATTTTAAAATTTCAAAGGATTTGTGTTTATTTATCCGTGATCCATTTGTTGTCCCAACTGATGAACCTTGCCTTTTGAAGCAAAAACATTCTAGATTCAATTGATGAATGTGCCTCTCACTTAGAAACTGAATGGCTCCAGAACCCAGATGTCTTGAAGTCAGCATTTAGAAAAGTGGGACTTGTAATTTCTAGACTTGATATTCTGACTTATTTCAGAGTAGCCTGAATCTAGCCATCTATCTTTTATCAACATACCTCTACAGATCAGGAACATTATAAAAAACAAACACCACTGATGAGCATGTGTCTTGCCCTGACCTCCTAGAAACCAGTCTTCACAAAGCTTGCCAGAGATGCTTGATGTCACCTCTAATTAGAGACAGCCACAAACACAGGTAATAAATGTTGATTTATAAATAGTGTTAATAGACAAAAGCAATAATAATTATGTTCCAATCAGGGTATTTATTTACTGGCAGCTGAAAGTATTTTTAATGTTATCTTGTCTGCCTCCTATGCAAATAGATCGCCTCTTATCATAAAACTGTTAAATCAAGCTTTGGGTAGATCTAATTGAATATTTCTAGATTAGATCTTAATGTCTGGCACCCTCTACTGGCCACTTGCAGGTCAACCTAGGTTTCAAATCTGTAAACAACTGCTTGGTTTATTCTAGAGGAAGAAAGGGATTGGTGAAAAAAGAGAGATTGTGAATAGTGATAGCTGTAAGGGTTTCCTCTACACCACATATACACCAGACTGAGGAAAACAACTTTCAACTATTATTACAACCCACTACACTGTAGAAAATGTGAAGTATTCAATGCTTCCCCAAGTTCCTGGAAAGTGTAGTTACTGCACAAGCCCTCTGAAAATTGCAGCATATGCTTTAGTGCTGCATTATGACTTTCGTGGGCCCTAAGCACTTTTGCTTTCGTGGGCCCCTCTCACCATAATAATATCAATATTAAAAATTATTTTTGATATAATTTTAAATACTTCAACATTTTTTTTTCTGTTGTAGGCAAAATTTGATAGATTTTCGTGGGCCCCTAAAAGTATCGTGGGCCTTAGGCACTGTGCCTACTGTGCCTAATGGATAAGTCGGCCCTGATATGCTTCCATCTGTAGTTTGCTAGCTCCAGTCTTGAAAAGGATAAAATCATTATCCTGCCTTCTTCCTGCTCCTTCTATGGTAGCTAATGCTTCAAGAGAAATAGCAGGAGAACTGCATTCAGGAAACTGCAGTTATGACTCGTGCTTGCATTAGGGATACATTCCAAGAGGAAGACTTCTTCTACCACAACCACTCTACAGTGCCAGACAACCAAAATTAGCTCTTAGATCTGGTCCTTCTCAAAGTTTTGGGATGTTGATATCAGGTGTTTTGGACTGAGTCAGTCCCTGCCAATAGGCATTTAGGGTTATCATTGGAGGTATTCTTGATTCCTACTATGAGCAAAGTTTTTTTAATGGTATTTTAAAAAACCTGCCAGCCAAGTAAATTGTTTTCCATGTACATAAAAAAAATGCAAACTTTTCTTCATTTCTCTGTGTAAATAGCTGTTCAGTTCTGTCTATTCTCAGAGCTGGGGGATAAGGATGGCAAGAGAGATCTGGATTTAAGTTACTGCTGAGCCTCACACTTTCTGTTTAACCTCAGTTCCGCCTCTGCAAAAGGGGGATCCCAGAGAAGAAACAGGCACCACTGACATAAAACTTGTCTATTGAAATGTCATGGAATTAAGCCCCTATGGCCACACTGGTCATAGGATACATACAGCCTCAGGACAGAACTTGTACATTGGTACATTGCAATTCTCTTCTAATAATTTCAACCCATTAGACAGCTGAAGTAAATCAGCAAAGCAAATCAACATATCTCCACTGACTTTAAGAGAACTACTTTATTTTACACTCATTGAGAATATAATCCAAATTCTGCAAACATATTTTAATAAAATATGTAAAATGTGTAAAATAAAAATATGTATGTGGATATTTCACATTACTGGAATCCTTACATGAAATGCTTGTAAAAATACAATTCTGACATACTCAGAAATGCTTGTAAAAATACAATTATAGTGCAATACGAAATTCTGACATACTCTCTGACTTAACCTCCTCCACAGTCCTATGTTATTTTTTAAATGAGGTGATGTTACTACTATCACATTTTTATAATATTTCATATAAACATTCATGTTTATCTTACCCTATGACCTTTATCGCCAGGTAGACCAGGAAGACCATCAAACCCTCTGTCACCCTAGGAAAGAAGAAATTAAAGCCTTAGAAATTATTAGCACACTATGTAATATTCTTAGTAAATTATACCAGCTCATTGTGGACTAAATTCTAACCCTGGATACTGGATACAAGTGCACATCTCAGAAAGTTTTTGGAATTTAGCATATACATCTGACTATCAGAATTTGGTCTTCTGTGCACCAAAGCAGAGGAAGTAGTCATGCACCAGATTTTACACTCCATTGTTATTATATCATAAATTTAACATCAAGGCAAAGAGGGAATTTTCGTCAACATTTCACTGGTAAAAATCAGAAGTAGCCCCATTGTAGGGAGTCAAAATACATTGACTCCCAACTAAACAAAAGCACCCTAAGTCAGAGCAGAATCAAGCTCAAAGAATCAGATTACTTAAAAGTTACAGTGCTGTCCATTACCATGAAATACAGCAGTTTTAAATGGACGATTAATTCTCAATGTTCACCTGTTACCTGGTTGTCTGAAGCATTGTTACTTTCACTAAGAATGGATTTCTACTTTTTTTTATCTTTGCAGTGCAGTGGAGGGCAGTTTAATGCCTATTTAAAATGTGCCTCATCCATTCCATGACTGAAATACATCCTCAGATCTATTACCTTTGCACCAGGTTCTCCTGGCATTCCTCTAGCACCATCAGCTCCTGGGCGACCCTAACAAAATACAAATATTTAAAGATGTCAACAGCTGCCAGAGAGATTAATGAGAATGAGTTAATTCATTTTCATTTCAATTAATTTTTAATGAGATATGTGTTACTCACTCTTTTGCCAGGTTTCCCAGTTAGACCAATGGGTCCTTGAATACCTCGAGGACCCTGAATTTAAATAAAACAGTTTTTAAAATCATGCTATATGTGGCAGCATAAAGCTAGAACAGTTGGCTAAACAAAATTGCCAAACAATTTAACCTAAGAACAATTTGGTATTGTAGTGTTAAATACCACCTAAGTAAATGTCTAGTTCTTAGTAATTTGGAATCAAAATTAGTCATTCAAATCCCTTGAATGTTTTTGAAAAATCTTAATCCAATTGTTTACATATCTTGTTTTAGCCATGTTAAAATTAAATTCACCTATATTTAATGAAAAATATTTTCCTTCATGTTGTAAACTTAAACAATTGGAATTTGTATACTTAAGGGCTTAAAATGTCTTTTATTTACATAGCACATTTTATCTAGAGGGATGCCAAAGTATTTCCATAGATCACACACCTCATTCTGCTTTCACAAGTGCATATGATTCTCAGTGAAGGCAGTTCTAGGTGTTTCTTAGGAAGAACTCTTCCCCAAGCTCAAAATGCATCTTGGGTGAAAATGGCAGCCAAAAAAGGCAGTAAAAATTTAGGGCAGTGCAGGAGGGTGATCGGACCCTTCAAGGATCTTCAGAGACAGGGAGCAACAAGGCATGATTGAGGGAGAAGCTTAGCAGGCATGTGCTGGAAACCAGCCACCCAGCAGCAGCTAATAACAATCTCTGATTCCCTGCAGGAAGATGTTAGTGGGGGAGGAGGAGGGCTAGGAGAAACTAACAGTTCCCTTAGAAGTAGCAGAAGTCTGCAATGGGGCAGGCTGTCTCTGTGGTCTCCCTGAGGTTAAGGGAGGGCTACATGCCTTCTGAAAGGGAAAGGGGGACAAAGGAGGCAATTGCCCCAGGGACCAGCAATTCAAAAGGGCCTGGCGCTCTGACTGCTGCCACTGCTACCTTTTATATCACTGCCAGAGCACCTCACAGCCCACTCTGGGCAACTCTGACTGGGAGGGAAAGGGTGATGCTGAGAACTGGCTACCCCCAGCCCTGCCACTTTCACCCCAGACTCCACCCCTTTCAGGAGTGCAGAGCCTCACCACCACCTTATCCAGGGACACAGCAAGTCTGTTGGCTCCCCTGGAGGGGGGTAAATCGTGAGGTACTGGAAGGGGAGAAAGGACCCAGCCATGTTAGTTCCAGACACGGCTGACTGTCCAAGCTTGTGGACAAGTCCATGTGATCACAAAAAGAAATATTAAAGAAAGTAATAAAGATCCCCACTGGAAATGTAGTTAGGAAAAATGAAACACTGACCAGCTATTAGTAATATTTTACTTTTGTACAAGTGCCAAAGTGGAATTTAGGATAATCACTTAATACATTACTAAACATATGTACCCAAGTTGGCATTTAGCCAGGTATTAGCACTCCAGACTCTTAAAAATATCCTAGATATTTTTTAATGGCCACAAGTGCATATGACCTTAATTGGCATTTAGCCAGGTATTAACACTCCAGACTCTTAAAAATATCCTAGATATTTTTTAATGGCCACAAGCGCATATGACCTTAATTTTGGGTCTAAGTTTAAAGATTCCCACTGACCAGTGCTCTCTAACATCAGGTTGGGAGATAGATACAGTAATTACTAAGAAGGAAAAGGATCATCCATTGAATCATCAACACCACTACTTCCAGTGTCCAAGTCTTTCCTGGAAATTTACTGTTTAATTACTCGTCAAGTTAAACTCTGTTCAGTTTATGAGATCTTATATGATCACAGCCCAAGGTCATATGAATGTAGACATTGATGTTAATGGTACTTATGAGCATGTACAATATTGAGCAGAGAAAAGAGCCTGCAGTACCAATTTTAAAACTAGTCATCAACAGATGGCACTGAACATGTGATAACTGGTTTTACAGAAAGTCAGCTTATTACTTTCACATTTTAAAATGAACAAGCTATTTGTTTCATATGCCGCAGCATTGTACATGCAAAGCTATTAATCCTCTGTTACACGTACAAAGCACATAACTGATTGTTCTCCAATAGATTATAGGATTACATTTCCATATGCGGCAAAGCATGAAAAGGTAATACACTGAAAAATGAAAGGATGTTGAATTGTACCTGGGGACCAGGGTCGCCACTTTCTCCCTTAACACCTGGTGAACCATGTCCACCCTATGTAACAAACACAAAGTAAAGTGAGTTTAATTAACCAGCTAAACTGTAAGTGGATAAACTGTTAGCTGTTTCTAGAAATTAACTACAGAAAAGAAAAGGGATTTTTAATTAGCTATTATAAAGCCATCCTATGCAACTACAGCACCCAAATGTTCATTTTGTAAAGATCTGGCAAATTTATGGCCAAATCCTGGTTTCATCAAAGTAAATGTTAACACTTCATTGACTTAAATGTGACCAGGCATTGACAATTGTGTCCTATACTAATGTATGCCTGGTAGACATCAGCTCAGTCAGAATATGAGTCATTAAAACAAGTTTCTGCTTTCTCCATCAAGAAGGAGGCAGGAAGACCTGAAAGTAGATCTTCAGAACTCTTGTGCAATTGTAGAAATAAAGCACAATCTGACAACACAAATCTCACTGAAGACAGGGAGCGTCTTTCCGTAGCTTATCAGGCCCTTAAACACATGACCTTTCAATCAGGCCCTTAAACACATGACTAATCTGTATAACTCTATTTCTACAAGGGTAATCACATCAGACAGAGACACACAATTACAGAGTAAGTAATAATCAAGGAGTTCATTCTATATCTCATAGTATTATTCTGAGGCTTAAAAACAACACTAGGCCAGATCCTCACTTGTGGTAAATCAGAGTAGCTAGGATCTGGCCCCACATCTGTCACAGTCTATTTGCCTTTTCCATTAATTTTGGTTCAATTAAATAACATACCAACATAATTCAAAAAGAGTAACCAAGTGTACAAATTGAATGAACCTATTAGGAAGTGCAAAGGGACTGCTGCATTTCTGACCTGTATAGCTAGAGCCAAATATTGTGTCCTTAATATTAAACAAACTTTGCTGGGACTAGGAGCCTGATTCTCCTACTGAAATGAAGAGAAAATGCTCTAAAGTCCTGATCTAGTGCCTACTGAAGTCAGCGGAGAAAGTCCTACATGAGGCAAGAACTAGGCCCTGAGTTGTTGCTTCCCATTAGGACGGGTGACTATATTTAGCAGGTGACTATTATCACAGGTTTCTCTGTATTAACCTAGTTTTTAAATATTATAAATTTGCAAAATTTATACTTTAGACAAAGAAGGATAAATAATTTACTTTAACACTGTGAATGCTAACACTTAATGTACTTATATGTCTGCTGTACTAAGTATTTTTTTATAATATATGTAATATGACTCTGAATGATTCGTAATTAAATTAGCAAAACACATGACAGATTAAGGCTAAGATTTCCAGAAGTGTCTAGTAATTTGGCGAACCTTTATTGTTTGTTTTGTTTTTTGATTTCTCAATTTGAAACTTGTTCAAGGGGCCTGATCTCTCACAGGGCAAGTGCCCCGAAATGTCTGAAAATTAGGCTCTTTTTCAGATAATTTAAGAGGAGATGTCTAAAATCTGAGGCACCCTAAATTACTAGTTACTTCTAGAAATCATGGCCTAACACTTTGCCAAATCAAAGGAGCTGGGTTTCTACAGCCTCCCGGTGGCTTAATGTGAAAATAGCTATTAATGTGAAACGGTTTGTTCTCTCGTCTTTGCATACAAAGAACTACCAATGCTTCTAATATGTAAACAGTTGGTGGTATGTGGCCAGGATTATCAGTAAATACAACTATACACTAGCAATATTATACAGAATCACTTTTATAAATGGATTCTGTGTTTCCACAGTTATATAATTGTAATGACACTATGTACTGAATACAATCTTCTTGTCTCTTGATTTACACAAATGGAAGTGGGATATAAGTTGGTTCGTTATCCTGCACCAATTTATTCTGATTTATTATAAATGTATAATGATATTTGCCTAATTGTGACCAACTGAAAGCCTGTGGAGGCCAACCTGTCTGCTGGCAGGACAACTACAATGCCACTGACTCTGAGAGAGTTATACCAGTGAAGAATTTGCCACCAACATCTGTTTCAAAGTTACAATGAAAACCCAGGCATTTTAGTTTTGTGGACTGCATGAAATTATTTATTTGTTTATTTATTTTTATTAACTGAGACTCTGCTGAAACCACTCAGTTTTACCTAGATAAACAGAAAGTGGGATGGGCCACCTTTTGGGGCTCAGCATAACTTGGCGAAGAAGATCTATGATGCTAGGGCCATGAGATATCAAAGATCCAATCAGCAGCTGTGGCAGTAGTAGCCAAAGATCACTGATGTATGAGCACCCAGACAGAGTCCCCATATAAACTCTGTGTATTATGTGCTGAAAGTGGAACAACACAGAGCCACTATTCAATTTTTATGAACCATGAGATTTCCCTGTTTAAAAATGGAAGCCTTGGGTGGTGCAGTTAAGACAGCTATTAGGCCATTTTGTGCTACTAGTGCAGTACATGTAAGCAGTAATGAGGCTGACAGTCTGGTCTGTGGATTCTACAGAAGGTAGGTAAGATGTGATTGTTTATGTGCCCCTCCTACCTGCTGATCAATATTTCATTCAGCATATTATGAATTAAGAAGGAAGATGGGGCAGAAGGAGAAAAGAGGAGGTAGAAAGATGGGATGGTAGAAGTAACTTAAATATGATGTCATAATATTGCTACTCAACAATGAGCTGTTTGTGAGGCAGCACATACAAGCAGCGAGGGCCCAAAAGGATGGAAGGAAAGTGTTCTGTACTTCTGGTATTATAATTATATCACCTCATAAATGTTTAATGTGTTCCAGTTCTACATTAATAATCTGCTTTGCTATTAAATAATGTTAAGCATGTTTTTGTATATAATTTACAAATAGGTGTATTTTTGTCATGGTAAGAGTTAAACTTTCCTCTTTGTACTGCAGTTCATTCATTGCTAAAATATAGCAGCTAGAGATCATCATAATCACAGAACAGGCAAAGTATCTGCCATCTTAACCATACCAACAAAGCAGACTAACTACCGCTTTGCAAGCCAAGTGACTCCTTTCAAATATAGATGCTATACTTACTTGGGAGAAAAAGACTTTCTGGATCCAAGAGGATAAATATAATCACCTGAGATCATTTTAGAAAAGACTTGTTTTCTGCAAAGCCTATAATCTTGGTTGCAGCAGTTATCATTTTATATTGTTGTTGGTATACTTAAATGGCTTTTTGAAACATGGTAAGGGCTAAATTACAGCATTTTGTGGATTATTTGAGTCTACTAAGTATTCAGTGCATAAAAGAGGAAATTACAATTACAAGATTGGTCAGGTGATTTACAAAGTGCAGAACCTCCTACCTGATTTTCCTCTTTTCTTGTACTATTAAACTGTTGTGTAAAGATCACAGTGGCAAATTTAATGGTGATCTGAAAGCTGTTTGATCTTTCTGCCTGTACAATGAAAACTCAGAACATTTTTATGACCATAGTCACAGTAGTATCCTTCTAGGTCATTCAGTATAAATTTGTGAGCCAAATTCAGACACAATTCTCTTAAGGTACGTCTGCACAGTGTTATTTCGGAATATCTAACGTTATTCCAAAATAACATAGTCCGCTTCTACACAGCAAGCAGTTATTTCGACATAATGTCAAAATAATATCGAACTGGAGAACTTCTTACTCTGACTCCTGTAACTCTCATTTTATGAGGAGTAAGGGCAGTGAGAGGATGAGTGTTCTTTCTTGGACTTCATGTTGTGTAGACGGCTCTAAAAGCCAAAATAAGCTATTTCAATGTAAGCTACGCAATTGATGTAGCTCAAGTTGCGTAGCTTGTTTTGGCTTTAGCCCTGCTTTGTACATGTGCCCTTAGAAGTCAATGAGTGTTGTGCCCGTTTCTAGTAATGATATACTTTACCTAAGATACACAGGTAAGGTTACTCTGCAGCATCCCCTTTCAGTTCCTAATTTTTACCATAAGAAACATCCTAAACTTTTACCAAAAGTGACAGAGACTTATTTAATTATAAACAGTAATCACAAGTTTTGAAGTATACTCTATCCATACGTATAAAAGATACGTGCTATAATTTAATTAGCTTACAGGCTGAACTACAGATTCAGCCAAAAAACACGGTCTCAAATTCTGGCCTTAATTATGCCAGTGAGGTTCCCAGTTAAAATCATGTAAGTAAGGCAGGAATTTGAACCCATGGACTTTTAATATTTTTAATGTGTATTCAATTTTTGATCCTTGTTTTGTTTAACATACCACAGGACCTGGTCTTCCAGTGAGTCCCATGGGGCCAGGTGGTCCTCTCATAGCGATCTGTTAAAAAATGTGAAAAAAACCATATTTCAAGGGAATCTACAAATTTTACATGATAGTATTCATTGTGTGGCCATATTATTAGTAATTAATTCATGCTAGTGGCTGACAATGAAAGTTAACTGCAAGTTTATGGATGGAAGTTTATTTTCCTGAGCAGAGAAACTGACAACCCATAATTAAAAGTATGGGGGGGGGGGGAAGAATGTATTAAGCTGTCACAGTTTTCATGCATACAATATATTACTCAGTAAATATCAGTTACTGTTTACTAAATAAGACTGCAATAGACTATGCACATACATTTATACTAGTTCTTTCCTCTAGTCCCAATTAGAATAGATACACATAAAATCATACTTTTAGTAGGAATAAGACACACATAACCCTAAGAATTGGACCTTTGTCTTTGCAATTCAGAAACATTCTTGTATTGAACTTTAATATTTCATGCCACTCTCTTCTGTGCTACTCCACTCGGGTGTGTGTTTCTATCTGTCAGTTTAGTCATTTGGACCACACAGCAAGAAGGAAGTATGATGATGTCACAATAAATGCACAGATTCCAAAGGTCATATTACATTTTCCAGTATGAACAGAAGTATACACAGAGGACCTACAATAAACAGATCATCAACCTGTCATCCCAAATTCCTCCACAGCTCTAGTCAGTTGTCTGCTGCCAGGCTGAAGTGGCAAGCCCACGAGATTTGTTGTCCCCACTTTCATAGGCCTCCTCTCCACCTTTATGTGGGAAACAATTTCTCGGGTGTGTATATTTAATATTGATGACTTATTGAAACACTCTTTTTCATTTCTGCTTTCAGTATTTCACTCAAAAGTCTGTATCACCCACAACTCTCTCATTTTCTTTCCTTCTCCCTTTATATATATGATAACCAGTAATATAAATCTTCTCTGTATTTACAGCTTTGCTTTTATTTTGGTTTAACCTTCTTACCCTAGCCTGTTGAAGAATAGCTTGCGCTTGAGCTTCTTGAGCTGAGATTGTTGGGCCCTTCTCACCATCTCCACCAAAGCGGAACTACAAATATCAAGCCAAAAAAAAAAAAGAATTCACAATTAAGCAAGTTAAATATACCTGTTGTTTACTCTTACTACAGAAAGCGCTGCTTACGGAATTGGGCCAGATTCTCTACTCCACTTTTAAATTGGTGTCAGTCCTTTAAAGTTGACAGAGTGCAAAATAAGAAGGGATAAGAGTTCAGAAGGGATATTAAGTTATCAATAACAGAATATGAGCCCAGTCATGTTCCCAAATAAATAAAATGGAAATTTTCTGTTGATTTCACTGGAATCTTTTTGTACACAATGGGCCATTTAAATGCCAAATGGGGAACCAGAATGAATTCCTATTTTATGCCAAATTGTACTAACAATGAAATGTTACCAAAGTCAATTAGTATCATGTAGCAAAAGTGAACGCCACTTTAGTTAATAGTAGGAAAAATGCAACTGAATTGATACCAAGCTTTGATGTGAAAATGGTTATCAAATCTCATTGTGGAATATTGTGTGCCCTTTCCTAAGGTCTCAAATTAAATGGATGGAAACAAGGCTTTTGGACAAGAACTCAAATATTCTTAGCTAGTTAGATAGTGACAATTGAATCTGTACATCACATAACATATAGAGAAAAGGTAATGCAGCCTAATCATTCTAAAATGTCTACAGAAGATATAAATCTTTAGTGGGAAATAGTTCATTTCAGTGTTCTCAATTTTACAAATTTAGTGCGTTCTCAGTGTTCTGATCAAATTACTCTGTGGTGTCAAAATGTGGGACCATATCAATTCTATCTTCTGTCAACTTGTGACTTCCTCCAACTTCAGTTGAAAATTGCCTTCTTCACAGAGCCAATTTTAACAGTTTTAGCCTGGTCATCGAACAATTTTTGCTGCTGCCTTTTTCCAAACAGAAATTATTTCTGTCCACTGCAATCACATCATTATGCTGGGGGGATGGTTTGTAGAAGCATCAGCAAGCTGATTCTTTAGGCATCTACACAATGAACTGATCTTTTATGATTTATCATTTGAAAAAGATCATCAAGCATCTGCCTGTATGCCCCCAACTCCCTGTTGCAGAAGTGAAGTCCCCCCTCTTCACGTCAGGGGTTCATGTGGAGTTGTCAAAATCTATACTAATAATCATAATTAATTAATAATAAAGTTAGAGCTGCCTAAATTAGTACATTGTATAAAATGAGATGACAGATGGAGAAACTGACATTAAATGATTTAAGTCCTTGTGACAGTCACTGTCACTACAAGGATTAGAATGCAAGACTGCCTTGTTTTTCCTCTGCTTCGTCCACTAGACCAGGATGTTTCTTGTACTGTTGAGCAGAACCATTATATTATGAGGATACACTAGCTGCTTAGTACTGTAGCTGGTGAAGGTGCAGGAAGTAGATGGGAAGGAGCATGTGACAATCAGCAGTGAGGGTGACAAATGTCCTGGGTGGATCCTCTCACATGCAAATTTATTTGTGAAACTTCCAAAAACTGAGGGACTATAGTGCAGATCATGAACAACTTATGATGTTTAGGATGATTGCAGTGACATGTTTTCAGCTTCAATGACTGATTTATGTATTCAAAGCTATCTTTGCAATGAAAAGCGCTAAAACATGGTTAATAAAAACTGGCATTACTCTTAATATTTAGAAGTCCCCTTTATAGTAGGAAGAGGTGGAGCAAACAAATGTAAAAAAATACATATTGTAACTATTGCAACTTGCTTTTTTGGTTAAGCTTTTTAGACAAAGGATAATTTTTTAAGAAAACTCCCATTATTGGTGCAGCTTCACTGATCCTACCAGTGGTGGGACCATTGGTAGACAGGCCATGAGATTTTTAATATCTGTTTTCAGAAGAGGCTTAGATACCACAATGATGAAAACAAAAGCTGGTCTATACCAGAATACCAACTGTTCCTGGCAAGGTGACGGATATGTGTGCGTGCCAGTGGTACAGAAACACTGAGGGTACGTCTACACTAGCCCCCTAGATCGATCTAGGAAGGCTAATGATGGCTACTGCAATTGCAAAACGAGCTCAGGATTTAAATATCCCAAGCTTGATTTGAATGTTCCTGGCCAGTCATCATTTTAGAAATTTACTAGCCTGAAGTAACTGCCTGCGTCTACGCACGGCAGTGAAATGGGATTCCGATTTAAAACCCCTAAATCGAATTAGCCGGTAAACCTCATTGCAGGAGGAATACCAGCTAATTCAAGTAAGGGCTTTAAATCGGACTCCCGTTTCACTGCTGCGTGTAGATGCGGGCAGTTACTTCAGGCTAGTCAATTTCTAAAATGGCGGCCGGCCGGGAACATGCAAATCAAGTGCGGGATACTTAAATCCCGGGCTTGATTTGCAATTTCGGTCACCCTCATTAGCCTCCCTAGATTAATTTAGGGGGCTAGTGTAGACGTACCCTGAGAGATTTCTCTAAAATTTTTACTATAGATTGTCAATTGAATAATGCAGTCCATGGTTGATTTCAGTTCTTTGCCCTAAAACAGCCATTTGATGTGGCCTTGGCAAGTCACTCAGGGCCACATTTACACAGACTGAAAGATGCAGAGAGAGGTGCCCAGAAAGACCCAAAAGTGTCTGAGCAGGTTGTGTATAGCTGGTTTATTCCATGGTTGCCACTCCTAGTAGAGCATTGTTAAAAATATGAAGTACTCTTCTTGGAATATGGACTAGACTTGGGAGAAGAATTCGTGAATAATATTCATGGGGAATAATGGCATTTTTATCAAATAAATATTACTGAATAAATGTTTCCATCATTCTATTAGCTCTAATACTGAAATATTAGCAGAACTATATTATGGGTGCCAGCTCAAAAACACCAACCCCTTAGTAGCCTTTCGTTGATTTTTCTCCAAATAGAAAATAAAATTTCCCCAAGCTTTCTTCATTCATTCTTACTAACTGGTAATGTAGTTCCCAAATATCCAGCAGTACAGCAGCAACTACAACCAGTAAACACTTCTATCCATCACATCTTGCTAACTGTATTTCACTGTAGCTGCAGTCTCTTTACTAATTCCTGTGATGGTAGGTGCTGCACATTATAATGATTTACACTTATATATTGTCCCTCATGCCAGGATACTCTACTAGCTTTGGGTTAGTTCCCTCTCCTCCTGAATCCTGTGGCATTTTGCTATGGGCTCCAGTGGGAGCAGGACAGGTTTGAATAGGTGCACACAGGAAAGACTAACCTTAAAAGGTGCTGAGCATACTAAGTCAATGAGACATGAATGTAGGAAGCATGTAGTGGATTTGGCTCTCAGGAGTGCCACAACCAAATAATTTAAGACGGGCAAAGGAACCAACAGCCTTGCCGGGCCCCTGGGCAAGGTGGCGGAGGCCCAGCTCCATGCTCTCTGGAAGGGGCAGGACATCTGGCAGGAGAGGCAGGACCAGGGGAAGTCATCCCGCAGCTCTGCCTGGAGAGTGTATGAGGCTTTCAATGGCTATTTAAAGGCCTCAGGGCTCCATGTACCACTGATAATGTGGTAGCACTGCTGGCAACCACCCTGGGCCCTTTTGAATCTTTAGGCCCTGGGGCAAGTGTTCTCTTTGCTCCACCCCTCCCATCAGCAAGCCTGAAGAAAGTGGTGGAGAATAATATAATTAACAATTGAAAATTACAAAGGTATTTGAGCAAGCATAGTCCAATCACCCACATTTAAATTTGGCTGGGAAAGCCCGGGCTAGCAATTTTTCTTCTTGTGTGAAATTAGTAAGTGATCTTGAAGGATCACAAATGGTCACACACAGAAAATCTATTGTTCGTCTCATGCCAAAGACAGAGCCTGCTGGAGGACAGGAGATTTATTTTATCTTTTTAATTCTTCTTCTTCTTTGGAAGGAAAACCCATGATTTAACACAGGTCTGACAACTCTATAACCCCCCAGGACTTACCGGCAACATTAACATGGTACCTGGTGGACCAGGTAAACCATCAGCACCTGGAAGCCCAGGACGCCCTGCTGGTCCCTGTGAAATCAAAAGGGAATGGAGATTAATTAAACACATCTTTCTTATTACAGGGTCACGTGTATTCATTCTTGTACCTTGTGAATACATTTCATGTGTTTAAAAAAGCAGAGGGTCAGTGTGGGAGTCTGAATCAGTGTAAAAAGGGTATATAAATAAGTGGGTTTTGGGGAGACGTATCTAAAAAGGAGAAGCAAGAGATCATTTTTCTTTTTGATTGATCCAGAGATGATACTAGCAATAGTGAGCTATAATTACTTATGAAAGCACCGGTCATCATTCCATTTTTAAGTGTGACTTAAATTTTGCACTGAATTTAGGCATTCACCTTCTTTATTATGTATAAGTAATTCAGTGTATCCTTCTCAACATTACAGTATTTATTTTTACATAGATTTTAAGCACTTTGGGACACAATCTGCTTTTGCATTCTGAGTTTGTACAGCAACAAGCATCACAGAACTCGGGTCCAGGACAAGGGCTCTTAGATGCTGCAAAACTGTAAATAATTAATCACTCTGGGTATGTCTACACTAGCCCCCTAGTTCGAACTAGGACGGCTAATGTAAGCATTCGAACTTGCAAATGAAGCCCTGGATTTAAATATCCCTGGCTTCATTTGCATGTTCCCAGGCAGGTCCCATTTTCAAATCCCCTTAGTTTGAACTGACTGCCCGTGGCTACACGCGGCAGTCAGAAGTTAATCCAAACTAAGTCCTTAGTTCGGATTAACTGTTACACCTCTTTGCAGTGGACTTAGTTCAGATTAACTTCTGATTGCCGTGTGTCACCGCGGGCAGTCAGTTCGAACTAAGGGGATTTAAAAATGGCGCCCGCCCGGGAACATGCAAATGAAGCCAGGGATATTTAAATCCAGGGCTTCATTTGCAAGTTCAAATGCCTATATTAGCCACCCTAGGTCAAACTAGGGGGCTAGTGTAGACATACCCTCTGTGTCTAAGGCTTTAAATAAATCCCTTTATTAGTTCTGAGTTTAAATCAAGTTTTAAAAATGTCCTTTAGTATATTTAGCACCTGTTGTCAGGTCTTATTTTTACTTCAATGTAAAATTATGTTAATAATGGAATGAGACTGTCTTCACACTTCCCAGATCATTGAAAAAATATTCATATATTTTGGGTAGACTATAGCTGAAAAAATTACATAGTAATTAAGACAGGCATTAATTGTTATTGTATGTAAACTCTGTGTGAACCATATACAATATTTTTAAATCAAACAATGAACTTTGTTTCTATGTTAATTTTTTAGAACATTGCTTATCAAAGATTTTTAATCTGAACTAAAAGCTTTGAGATACAAGAACAATTACAGCAATAGCCAGATTTTTATCTATCTAGAAAAAAAAAGCAGACAAGTAAAAAACAAAAACAAAAAACTCCTCCTAAATTGCATAAGCTACATTTCTGAATGAGTCACTTTGTAATGCTAAAGGAGTAAGCTTTCTTTGAGGCAGCATTGGGATCTGCTAGTACACATCCCTGCACTCACATAGAATTCTAGGGAAATTATTAGGGCTTTACAAGGATAGATCTTAATGCAGAATGATGACCTTGATGTCTTTACTGTGAGTGCTGTTTCATGTAGAATTTTACTGATCACTTATAACTTTACAAGCAAAAAAGAATACCAGCTCAAGCAGTGTCATTGAAATAACCTTAACTTTCTGTGTTACTTTATCAATTTTAACCATAAGGATATATGGAATTATTAAATCTATAAGAATAAAGATTGAGGAAAAAATGTTTATTCTAGTCCATTTTCTACATTTGGAGTGTTTGGTTTGATTTTTAAGTCAAATTATACAGTGCATAGTTGCTGTATTCTCAGTGTCTCCCAGACAGAAGTATTTCACGAACATACTAAACATTTCACTAAACTGTCACTAGTAAAGCAGAGTGACATTTATCTCATGTCTATTGCAATAGAAAATTTTCCTAAACTGAATGCATTTACTCTGTTTTAAAATTATACAAAAGGCCTGTGAGAACAATGAAGACTAGGTAATGGCTGCATTTCATATATTTTAAGCATGGCCACACCTAAGATCTCAGTATGTCCAGCATAGCTTAGACAGACAGTACCCATTGTTTCCATCATTTCAATTCAGATTTTATTATTATATATCATCACCTTTATTTATCCTTTCATTTGAATGATTTATTGTTCTAACATTTTTTAAAAATCTTACTCAGATTTATAGCAGAGATGTTTAACTGGATTTTTATTATTATTTTATTACATTTTAAACAAATTCCTACCTAAATAAAACAGTGAAACTGGGGTTAGATAGAATTTTTACTCCTAGAAATGCATGAGACACACATTTATTCTTTCTGCTGATTTTTCATTTTTGACCAGATCCATGCATGAGACACACATTTATTCTTTCTGCTGGTTTTTCATTTTCATTTTTGACCAGATCTCCAGCTGGTATAAACTGGTGCAGCTCCAGGAAGTTCACTTGAGCTACATTAATATACACTAGCTCAGAATTAGTTCCGTGAACTCTTACAATGGTTAGTGCAAATTATATCACTAATAAACTACATAATCAATATTTTGACTTACCCTCTCACCAGAGTCACCCGGGGGACCAGTGGGACCTTGTAAACCTGGGGGACCTGTGAGACCCTTTGAAAAAACAAAATGTTTATGGTAAATGACTGTTTGCAGTGGTGTGTTCAGCTTTTGTTTATTAAACATACGTTCAAGACCCATAAATGATTATCTCCAAATAATCTCCAAATAAAAAGGCAGAATTCCACCCCAGGGGCTCTCACTGAAAACACTTGAGCTGAGATTGTAAATCTTGACCTATTCTACTGTGTTGAGTACATTCTACATGTGAGAAATGATGCCTCTGGTTTTAAATATATCATTTCATATGTACTGAAGCACCATGGACCCACAACTGAATGCACTATCATGAAATGTAAAACAACAAAAATGAGAAATGAGACTTACAGGAGGTCCTGCTGGTCCCACTGGCCCTTCAACAAGCATCCCCTACAGAAAAAATGACACCAGATTATTATCTTTTTGAGAAAACATAAAAAAGCAAAAAATAAATTACAGTCACAATAAAATTAGCAAGGAGCTTTATGACATTATAATCCTTATGTTCCATAACCATCTGTTTGTTCTCATCAAAGCATAACAAGCTCTTTCTTCATAACTTCTAAGGTTAATATTTTCTCTCAGGGACCATATTTTGTACTTTTCAGTGCATCCATTGAAGTATATACAAAAGTTGCATAGAGGTTTCCTAAATTACTCTGGCAATGTCACATTTTCTGTGTTATCAATTTTCAAGGAAAACTATTAGCAGAATAGGCACAATAGTAACTCATACATGCTGATTTAACACTACTCTGTTTTTGTTTCATTTTATTCAAGTACAGTTTTGCTGATGGCTTCCAAGGTTATTTAGTGCAATTAGGAAAGAGCTGAACTGTAACTTATAATTCTCGAACTTTAAAAGTTGGGAAGACTTTCAGGTCTTGAAGATCCTGAATTTCTTGTTCCATGATGTTATCTGCATGCATACACACATATACTTATGAGGCTATATGCATACATACACACACCCCAACTGTCTCCTGAAACCATGCTTTTGGCATCTAACAGCTTCTCTGGGGATTTTCCTCCAAGAAGAAATTCAAAATGGAATATTGATGTAGTCTCAATTATCACACTAGAAGCTTTAAAAATAATGGGTTTGCTTCAGAAGCTTCCTTTTAGCATATTGATGGGGAAGGGGTTTTTATCATGGTATGCTTTACACAGCTTTACTCAGAACTGATTTTTAAAAATACTGGTGAAGAATTTGTATGTAGCTGTGGGGGATGACAGTAATTTATAAGAACCAGATATTCTGTGAACTAATGCAGTCTGAGCTTTACCATATGTTGTTGTGTTTGATTCTTGACTTACTACTCATTCTCTGTTACCAGATTTTACATTTTGTGATCAATGACTTCTAGAAACACTAAATTCTGTGATAGTTTTGTGATACAAGCTCCCATTAAAACTTAATTTAAATTACCACATTTCTTTGCACTCCAGTCCAATGCATATTTGGAGAGCCATTCAGATTTCCAGAGGATAAAATGACAATCTATTACAGGTTGGACCTTGTTGGTCCAGCACCCTCAGGGCCTGATTGGTCCAGGATGAGGGATTTTTCTGGACCAGGGGAAGTCATATCAGGCCTGCCTGCTATTGGTTCCTCTTGGACCTGCCACCGGCCTCCTGGCTGGCTGCCCCACCCCTCCACGCCACCACCTCCATTGTCCTGCCAGTTCCCCTTGCTAAGTCAGGCAGCCCAGCTCCAGCTTAGCTCCTTGTGTGCCAAGCTCCTGGCCTCACCAGGCAACCCCTCTGTAGTGCAGCGGGCTCCTGGCCATGCTGGGTAGCCCTGCTGTAATGCGCTGGGCTTCTGGCCCCACCAGTGTAGCCAGACAGGAATCCTCTCCCTCCCCCTGTAACATCCATCTTTGCTTGCCTGGAGCGCACAGGACATAGATAGAGCAGTAAAATCAGCATAGTCTTTGAAGCCTTGACAGAAGGCCCGGATATGCTGGCTGCTGTGACCCTGGATGGCTGTAAACAGAGATACATCAATCGCTGACTGGATGGCTGTAAACAGAGATACATCAATTGCTGACTAAGAGGCTGCAAAGGAGTGCCCTTGACTGAAACCCATATTGATACGAACATACACTCGTCTGGGGGCAGGAGGTTATTTCAGGTTCAGGAATAATTTGTGTGTATATAGCTAAAGCCTGATCCAAAAAGCTAGGAGGGGAAAAAATAATCCAGATTTAGATGCCTTCATATCTGGACATTCTGAGAGAGATTTTTAAATCCAGACTCCTTTGTTATGCTCACAATTTGCAGCTAAAAATAACTGCAGGCCCAATTTTGTTCCCATAAATATTTGTGGATAAAACTGTCATTTGGGAACAGTCTTGAGAAGGCTATTAATTTTTCTTTTTGCAGTCATTTTTTTTACTTAGTTCAATAATTATTCCTTTAAAGATGGAAGGTTTGCTGGATGTGTCCTTTGTCTTAAGTGTATACCTAGATAGACTAAGAGCTCTTTAAAGATTAAGCTGTCACTTGGTACCATTATTTCTATTTTCTATCTTTATTTTCTTTGTAACCATTTTTAAGATATATATTTGCTAGTAGTTAAGAAATAGAGCAATAGCCATTGGTTACAATGATTTATAACCATATAATTTATAAGCTTCTTTACTAAACCTGTAAGGCTGCATCTAGACTGGCAAGATTTTGCGCAAATACTTTTAACGGAAAAGTTTTTCCGTTAAAAGAATTTAAAAGAAATCCAGCTGGTCATAAGGGACAGATACAGGCAGAGCTGGGCATTTGGATCGTGTCGCTTCCAGGGAACAGATCCGTAGGGGCATCTCTCAGCCTTCCCTAGGCTGCCCACTGCAAAGGGATCCTGTATCCTAGCAGTCAAAATTTGAGGTGTAATAAGCTCTCCCTGTAAACTCTGGGGCATCTGTCAGCCTGTTGGCTGCCCACCACGAACGGACGTGGTCCTAGCAGTCAAAGACATGGACATTAAACTTCTTGGGGCGCCTGTCAGCCTTCCCTAGGCTGCCCGCTGCGATGGGACCTTGTGTCCCAGCAGTTAAAGACTCAGGTGTAACACACACACACACACACGCACTGCCCTGACCATCGGCTGACAGAATTGGCATAGTCGGCAGGATTGTGTTATTGGTTCAAATACAGCAGCATGAAGCCTGTCACGATTGACATGGATTTTAGCTGTATAGAGAAAGAGTTTGCCCAAGAGGGAGGGGGCAACCCTAAATGGGATAAAGAGATGTTAGGGAAAGGCGCTTGCACCTGGCTGTTAAAGGGTGTGTGGCAAGCAGCCTGCACTAGCTACTGGAACTTAGAAACAGAGCTGATAAGGGTTCAGAGGGAGAAGGAGGAACTGCAAAAACAATGCCAGAACCTAGATACCCGGGTGAGAACCCTAACTAAGGACATGGAGCATCTACAGGAATGGCTCCTCCCGAGGCTAGAGAGGGGAAGGAGAAAGTAATTAATGGGAAAAAATGAGCTTTTGGATCTGGCTTTAAGAATTTGCTGGCTCTAGCCCCCGCTCTCCCGCCTTCCACTGTAACCAAGATAAAACAGTACGGCATTCCAGCCGAAGCTATGGCTCCGGTCTCTGAACTAATTAAAGATCTGAAAAAATGGGGAATCTTAATTCGTACCTACTCCCCGTATAATTTGCTCAAGAAGCATGCTCGCTAGGAATGGGCCCCCACCCAAGAGGAAGCTCTGAGACAGCTGATAAATGAGATACACACTTATCAGTCTATGGGTCCGACTCACCCTAATGCCCCATTTCATTTGTACCTCACTGTGGGAAACACAGGGATGTCCTATGCCTTATGGCAAGGAGGAGAAACTGTCCCCAGCCGTCCCATACAATTTGGCTCGAAGTTATGGCAGGGGTCACAGTCAAATTACACGCCTTATGAAAAGGTGCTTCTGGCAGCCTACACAGCACTAAGGGAAACAGAGGAGCTAACCCAAGCTCAAGCCATAAAACTTCACACTCCTATCCCAATCATTAAGCCCATATTGGAGGGAAAGGAGTTGCCACCGGGAGTAGCCCAAAAGAAAATGACTGTCCAAAGATGAGCACTCTATTTACACCACAGACTTTGCTGCAGCATGGATGTTATGAAAACCCTATACTGAAAAGTTTAAATTTAGTAATAGCTGACTGCAATAATAAACATTCGGATTTACCTATTGAAAGGAATCAGGAGGTGTGGGGGGCTAATTGGAAAGCCCACCCTCCTTACCAAATTAATACTAAATAAACCTGTGTCATTGGAAAAAGTCATTTAGCAGGAATTAGAATGGACCATACAAAGGAAAAAGCATGTGAAAGGGGAAGGCAAAAGGTTTGGAGCCCTATAGGCATAGTTAAAGGAATAAGAAAAGTAATACAAACATTGGAAAGTTTCTAGGAATGAGAAACATTTTCTTTAAAAGGACGAAGCAAGTAATTTGAGGAAATGTAAAGGTAAAAAGTGGACTCCGTGGGTGTAACACACACACACACACACGCACTGCCCTGACCATCAGCTGACAGAATTGGTGTAGTCGGCAGGATTGTGTTATTGATTGAAATACAGCAGCATGGAGCCAGACAACCCTGATGTGATGCACTAGGCTCCTGGCTCTGCCAGGCAGCCCCACTATGGTTTACCTAGCAGCCCACCTGCGGGGAGCCAGGCAGCCCAGCTGCCAGGCTTCCACCATGACCCTCTCATCCTGGAACATCCATGGACAATGGGTGTTGTCAGACCAGGGAGACCTGGTTAACAGAGGTTCAAACTGTAGCCACCATATAAAGTTAAGACAAGATATTTCAGTAAAAAAAATCGGGTTTATGCTATTCATCTAAACTACAACTGTAGAACATAAATCTGCCTTACTGTACAAGATGCTTCATGGTCCCCACTGCTACTCTCCAGCTGAGAGGCATTCTTTATGCTACTGTTCCCTTACCATTGCTAATGTTAACAAATATGAATGCAGAATAAATAAGCACAGCATCAGTATGTTGCCTCATGATAGTGCTACATGACCCTATGATGCTGGTTTTAGGTATTCATATGACAGCATCAGAAGCTGGTATTTAATTAAAGAAATATAGGGATTTTGTTAGCTGGTCTCATGATGCAGGGGATAGTTAGATGAAAATTAACCAAAACCAGTGATCCTGAGGCTATTTATCCCCAGTCCATGAGAAGATGAGGTCTGTCATAGAAACATCACAGCTGGCCTAGTCTATGGTAGAAGGATTAGTGTGAATGTGAATCTCTTCTTTATCTCCTCTGTTTTCTGTCTACAGAATAATATTGGTGATAGTACTGGGGGATATCATATATAATATTCTGAATTGCTATAGTTAGGTTACATGGTTTGGCACTGAAGTAATTACATAAGAACATAAGAATGGCCATACTGGGTCAGACCAAAGGTCCATTCTGCCCAGTATCCTGTCTGCCGACAGTAGCCAATACCAGTAGTGCCCCACAGGGAGTGAACCGAACAGGTAATGATCAAGCAATGTCTCTCCTGCCATCCATCTCCACCCTCTGATAAATAGAGGCTAGAGACACCATTCCTTCCCCGTCACTAATATCCATTAATGCACTTACCTCCATGAATTTATCTAGCTCTTTTTAAAACCCTGTTATAGTCCTAGCCTTTACAACCTCCTCAAGCAAAGAGTTCCACAGGTTGACTATGCGCTTAGGGTATGTCTCACTTGTACCCTCTTTCGATAGAGAGATGCAAATGAAGACATTGGAAATTGAAAATGAAGCCAGGATTTAAATATCCTGCACTTCATTTGCATATTCATATTATGGCGCTATTTCGAAATAGCGCTCTTCTGAAATAACACACACTGTTAAGACGCGGTTATTTTGAAAGAAAACCCTTCTCTCTAAATAACCGGTAAACCTCATTGAATGAGGAATAAGCGTTATTTCGAGAGAAGGGTTTTCTCTCGAAAGTACCCTGGAGGGGATGGACCGAAGACAATGACCAAGCCATTTGTCTTGTGCCATCCATCTCCACCCTTCCACAAACAGAGGCCAGGGACACCATTTCTATCCCCTGGCTAATAGCACTCCATGGACCCAACCTCTATGACTTTATCTAACTTCTCTTTAAACTCTGTTAAAGTTCTAGCTTTCACAGCCTCCTGCAGCAAGGAGTTCCACAGGTTGACTATGTGCTGTGTGAAGAACTTCCTTTTATTTGTTTTAAATCTGCTGCTCATTAATTTCATTTGGTGGCTCCTAGTTTTTATATTATAGGAACAAGTAAATAACTTTTCCTTAATCATTTTCTCCACACCACTCATGATTTTATATACTTCTATTTTCTCTTACTTATGAAAATCCCTAAGCACTTCAGAAAAGAAAATCTCTTCCCACATACTTACAGGTTCAACAACAGCTGGTTCTCCCTTCTGTCCTTTTTCTCCATAAGCGCCATGTCCAGTCACCTGCCCAGTGGAAACAATGAAAATATACATTAAGCCTAATACCTCTGGGCATTCTGAAAAGTACAGACACTGTTGTTTAAAACTAAAGCTGGAGTGCCAACAAAAGTGTATCACAAACACAAATCTTACCTAACAATCATATTAAATACTTAAGAAAAAGCCCCACGAGGAGATCAGTAGAATATCTTTAATTATCTCATCCTGTGGTACTTACAGCAATGAAATTCCCCATGACTTTTTCAGTGGGACTTTGCTTCCCATTAAGACTACATGATTAGATCCTAAACATTGAATGTGCGTGTGTATAGTAGGGGGATTTTTAATAAGCTTATTTTTGGCATATGACACTACAGGGGATGATTCTAAAGAGAATGGGAGTTTCAGAAGGGAGATGTACACTAAACTAAATTACTTGGGGGATGATTGACCCACTGTACTAGGAGGAAGGAAAATGCTCATACTCTAAGTTTTGCGGATGCAGAAATAGTAGGGGTGTGTCTGAAGGCAAGGAACCATTGTAAAATACCCTCTTGCTCCTCTAAGTATCCTCATCTGCATCCATTCCATAATGCTCTCTTGCATCATAATGAGGCAGAGGAAGAAGTGGAAATTGAACAAACCTAAGGGCTGCAGTTGCTGACTTGTGGCCCTATGAGTAGAGAAACTCAGAGATAGACGAAAGAAGGTGAGAACAGATGAGTTACTTATTTGCCCACCTCCCCTGATTGTTATGGAGATAATTTCATTTCACTGGGTCCACCTTGTCACAGACCAACCACTGCATTTTGTAGTTAGATCACTACTCCTTGGGCCATACAGCCAGGCTAGTTTTCTCAGGGCTCTCTTCTTACTCAGCCATGAAGGAACCTGTTTATCTCTCACTGGAATGTTATTTGCTATGTCCAAGTTTCATTTCTTGTTCTCCAAATTTCATTTCTTGTTCTCCCTATATATAGCATTTAGTCTAGCCTATGACTCCATGCCGTAAGTAGGAAAACTATCTGAGTGACCATGTAAGCATTATCCAGCTATCTCAAGAATGGCCAGGTTTTCCTTTGGAACATATGAATTAACTTATGTAATTTTTGAGCTCTTTTCAGATTCAGCACAACAAAATGTACTGAGGCCAGGTTCGTGTCCTCAGAGTTGCAGAAAACAAGAAACTGATAGCACAAACTAATGCCAGAGTGCAGCTAGGAACAATGTAAGCTATAAACCAGGGACAGAGAACACTGAGTTTTGTACAATTGATGTGATTAATGATTCTACTCTTTGCCACTGCTCGTCCCTAATTATCTGTTTTTAACTTTAAAAATGTCCAAGTTACAAGTGTAGTGTAGAGATTTCTAATACACTTCTTGACTTCATCCTGACTGCCTTTTTTACAGGCCCATCAAATCAATATCTGATATGTTCAATCAGTGGCTCTCACGTGGCATAAATTTGAAATGATTCAATTGAATTCAACAGAGTGACTCCAGATTGCTCTAATGTAGCTGAGAGCAGAATTTGGATATATGTTAAAAATAGTAAATTAATTTAATTTGTGACAAACTATGTGGCTGTGTCTACACTGGCACCCTTTTCCGTAAAAGGGATGCTAATGAGACACTTCAGAATTGCAAATGCTGCGGGGGATTTAAATATCTACTTGAAAGGAGGAATATGGGATCTTGTGGAAAAGGGTTTATTTTTCGCAAGATCCCGTCTAGACTGGCGCTTTTCTCCGGCAAAACCCCGAGCTGGAAAAAAGTGGCAGCCATGTTCATGCAAATGCCGCGGGGGATATTTAAATCCCCTGCAGCATTTGCAATTCCGAAGTGTCTCATTAGCATCCCTTTTACGGAAAAGGGTGCCAGTGTAGACACAGCCTGAATGATTAACATAATTCTCCATTTAACATACTCCTACAGTTTTATGCTAACATCCAGTCTATTACTTCAGCAAGCCATAACCTTTAAAACTTTTTCAGCGCCTCACAGATTGAACTTCTCTGTTATGTTCCAGCTCCCCTAATTTTTTTCAGTCTTTTGCTTACACTAATTCTAGCTATCGAGTGTTAGATGTGGCTCTTCCTAAATCAGACAATGTAGTTCTGACTTTCCCAAAAGTTTGTCTGTATGGTAAAGTCTTGCAATCCCTTCTCATAGCAACTGACTGTGCTGTCTCTGTAGCATGAAACTGAAGATCACTAATTTGTATCTCTGTGGTACGTTACCATGACACACTACAACACTGATTGAGCCCTGTATTACTCTGTGGATAATTTCACTTAAAACTGAAATATTTTGGAACAAATTTTCAAAGAGTTCGGTTGTTTGTAAAATACAGGCACACATTTGAGGATCTGTGCTTCTAATAAACTGATTGTAGGTAGAAATTAGATATTTAGAGGAAAGGGTGCTTTGCTTTACATCTGCCATTCATGCATATGCCAAGACCATCTGCACCAAAAAAAAAAAAATGGAGGCTGAGTTCTTTGGAAACTTGCCCCTTTTGCTTAAAGATCTGAGCCATTAGAAACACTCCAAAACTCTAATATGACAACATGACGTGGTCGGAAAGAAGGAGCTTTTCAAAGGCATCAAGGTCAACAGGGAACATGCCTCCCATTTATAGTCTATGGCAGTTGGATCACTAATTGCTCATTGTACTTTTGAAAATCTCATCCACAGTTAATGTAACGATATTGAGTTGATGTGAGATGGGGTTTGATTTTCATTAAATATTTATATTTGGGATTGCAACAACTGCATGATTTATAACTTAATTTATTATTAAAGTTCACAGAAAGCTACAAGGGATTAGAAAATAACCAGATGAAGGTGCTTCTTAGATTAAGATGCAGTCTAGCTACTTGGTATATTTAACCTGGCTTTAGCAAGTGAGGTAATTAACCCCTTGTGCTGTGTTCATTTCTATAGGCCTTTACATGGACTCTTAACAAAATGTTAAGCAACTCTCTCACATAATACATTTGTTTTCAAAGAATGAAAAAGTACTTTTTCTCAGTCATTGTTCTCTCATGGAACATTACATGCAAGTACCATCCATGTACCATATCATCTCCTGCCATTGATTTTTGCACAAAACGTCCCTTGATTCAAAACAATGTCAAAACATGGCTCATTGACTTCAAAATGTCTGTGCTTACATCTTGAGTGTCATGTACTTGTACTTTGACTACCAGTAAAAACATCACCAATTCATCATTCCAGATGTTGCCAGTACTTCTAGTATCTACTCATATGTGAACATGATCTATCATGGAATTGCAGATTGGTACATGCCATTTTTAATGAAACACACAATATGTTTTAAGGTTTGGTTCAAACTTGTGCTGTGTTTTTATTTGTTGATTTGTGTGTTTGACAGGGGCCTAAAGCCCCTTGGCTTTAGGGGTTTAAATCTGTGTTCTAATCAAAATCATGAGAAAATATTTGCACAAATTTTATTTACATAGAGAAAAATAAAAAGACCAAACACAACTATCAATGTATTATACACCCTTCTATTTGGAAGCAACATCACCTTTGTGATCACGTGACACTGTAGTTCTGCTTAAAAAAAGTTGATTTTAGAGAAAATATGTGCAAACGGTTTGGCAATTTTCAATGCTCCAATTCTGCAATCCTAACTTGGGATAAGAGCGTACTCACATGGTTATGCCCTCTAAGGCTTATGATATTACTTACATGAATAAATGCTATTCATTATAAAGAAAATGTACAGAATCCAAAATTTATTTTTTTTCCCACTGAATGGATATTTTCTTTTGAATCTTCCTTTAAATTTTACTCGGGCTCTAGACTAATATGTTTTTAAATAAGATATGACACAGCAGAGCAACAAAATCTAGCAACAAATACAATAGAAAAATTAGGGTTTGAAGAGTCAGAGATGAATCACTCTGTACTTTGACACTGAAAATGTTACCATTTTTCCCTCTTACAGTAGGGCAGGAAAGCAGATATTCACAGGTGTTTGGCCAGATATTAGTAACATGGCTTAAACAGGAGACTTCACGTTGTTTATCCAAAGCCACTTATTTTGCCCAGCAACCAAGGAGAGATGCTCTTAGATTAATCCTACTCTCCATAAGTTTATAGAATCATGTATCATTTACTGCATGGTATCGATGAAAATGCCTCTATTCTCAGGGTATATTCTCATTTAACATTAAAGGGATTCATATATAGTTATGGTTAATGCTTATGGAGGTTAAGAGCAAAAATAATTTGTAGCAGCAGAATATACCTCCATTTTGAGAATTCATACAGGTGAGATTTTTCTCGTGTACTTGCACACTGTTAGTACAGATGTTACTAGTTAAGTCATATTACTTGGGATTTTAGTGGTCTGTGTGCTGAGTCTAATAGTCTGCTAGGCAAGGCTGAGAGTTTTTTAAGAAGCTCTAGCCTGTCATCCTTTGATCCCTAATCCCTTTACCATCCCTTTTCAAGGGGGCAGCACTAACTCAGGGAGAACCAGAGTTTAAAATGCCAGCTCCTAAGCAACCAGAGGAGCTAGCCTACAGGATCAGGCAATACAGAGGCACTGATAAGATTTATTTACAAATACCACTACTATTGCATGGTTGAGAGAGGACAAAGAAGCAGTAAATGGGACATAAAAGCCTGGACCTGAAGGTTAGTGGAGAAAAGCAATTTCATGGCATGCCCCATCATATCCTAGATCAGTTTCTATTTTAGTTTGTGTGGGGAATAATACCAGGGTAGGTGCAGAGCAAACACTAATCACAAAATGTTCTCCTTCTACAAGAAGGGCTTTCCTATCAGAAATCCAATAGGAGTATTAGTCCCGTTTACATTTTGTACCCTTCTAGGAAAAATGGGCAGCTTGCTATATTCACAGGAAAGCTAAAATCAATAGATAATAACCTACTAATGGTTTGGGGATGAAGAGGCCTGTACAGCAACAAAGAAGCAAAGGTCAACACTGAGCATGATTCACCAAATCCACAGGATCCTCCTGCTTTCCTATTGGATCCTCAAGGAACACACACAGGTAGCAAACCCAACCCCCTCTGTGATGCTATGGCTGGCTCTCTCACTCTTGAAGGAAGCATCAGCGAGCAACGCTGTGTTCTCCCACACAGAGTTGTGGCCTTTATTTCCTCCCTCCCATGGATATATCACAGATGGGTAGCAGGCACTCATGCACATTTAAACAAATAATCAGCTTAATAAAGAATATTTGCTCAAAACAACTTATTTCATCGTATAAAACTAATGAAAGTGATTATAATTCATGCTCGTATATGCAGTAAGTAGGACTTCTATTGTTTTCCATGTTTAGCTCAACAAATAATAATTTCATTTGATTCATGAGTTTTCCTTAGACAAGCCGGAAAGAGGAAAAAACAAACAAAAGGAGGTTCAGTAATGTAAATTAAAATATATGTTTGATCCAAAACTAACTGAATGTTTTCTGGAGTCTTCCCATTGCCTTCAAAGAGCTCTGGGTCAGGAGCTATCTTCTCCATTAACAAACAGCAAATCCAGAACAATGATATATCTCATACTACCACATTCTGCCCCAACTTACGCTTGTTTCTGTGATATCAGTCTCTGCTGGAACACCAGGACCAAACTCCTCATTAGTGGGACTGGTTGGTTTCTCTTCATATTCTTTATATTCATACAAATCATATTCGCCTAATTCTCCATCTACCAGAAGATCAGATTCACTGAGGTCTACTCTTCTGCTTCCATATTCAGAATCCTCAATTTTTTTATGTTCTGAATTATAATCCTCTCCAGTTACGTATTCTTA